TCTATGAACTTTACATCACATAGTCTAAACAATTGTGAATAGATGTGAGATTGTACAAGTGATCAATTTTGGAATCTCACTTTCTCATCTCTCACTTTCTAATCCTTGACGTTAGGTAATTATAAACAAGTTTGTGTTATTTGGCGCAGAATGTCAGACCTCTTTACAGAGATAAGCCTGGCCGAAATGATGGACTTTTAATTATAATTTGGGGCCGGAGATGTGATGTTGCAAAGGTTTGGTATGGGGGTTAAAGTCTCAAGATAATAATGTAATTTATTTAAATCAATGCAATGAAATTCAATAGTAAAATAATGTGTCATCAAAAATAACTATGTATATTTCAAGGAATAATACTTGAGAACATGGTTGTGTTTTCTCTTTCCAAACTGAATAATGATCATAACTCGACCATACGAGCACATGACCTTTGGATTTGTCATGGTATTAAATCTTTCTGACTTGTGTTCTGCAATGAGTTGCTATAAAGACAGGGATTTTGATCCTTTTAAAATTTTTATTTCGATAGTGCATAATATCGCAAATTTTAATTTACACAATTAGAATAGATCCACGATATTGTAAAGGTGATGAACGGGAGCCCTCATTTTATCTACTATTGGTACTGTTTCTGATATCTGGATATTATCCGGTTGGAAGAGACAAGGACAAGTGAAACAAGGAAGTTAGGAGTAAGGGCAAATTTTTTCTTTTTTTCGGCGTCAACGCCATCTTCAGGCTCAAATTATTTGTTATATAGTAGTGTTGAAAGTATTAAAAGTTTTAATACTTTCAACACTACTATATAACAAATAATTTGAGCCTGAAGATGGCGTTGACGCCGAAAAAAAGAAAAAATTTGCCCTTACTCCTAACTTCCTTGTTTCACGTGTCCTTGTCTCTTCCAACCGGATAATATCCAGATATCGGTATTTCAATCATGAGACTAATAAACAGCGAACTACTCCGTTATTTGATGTACTGTTTCTAATAAATATTATTTCAATTTGCACTTTCTGATGCAACACGTCGAGTTTGTTAACAAATTTTGTTAAACAAATGTCAGACTGGCAGAGGACGATAAGGAAGGAGTGCTCCAAGTGCTGTGGATACTGATAACAGGCCGAGACAGCAGCACTGAGATTATAGATCTAGCACTCTCAACTCACATCAAAATACTCAACTACATCTACTCTCATGGTGCTTGTTAATTATTAATAATAACTTAATATTAATATTAGCTTAATAATAATAAAACATTAACTTATTATGTTGTTAGTACAGTATTTAATTAAGTCCGTTAGTCCGTACTCCGTAACTGTTTTTATCACCTCCAATTTGATGAGGTAAGTCATCTATTTAACTGGGTCAACACTAGTTGATCTTGTTTACTGATGAGGATGTTTTTGCAAACCAGCCGTCATTGGTAGAGTAGTTCCTCCACCACTTGTGGTGACATCATTGTAACTTGGCGGTGTGAGCCGTGGGAGGTCAGTAACATCATTGTAACTTGGCGGTGAGTGGTCAGATAAGGTAGACATCCTAGCTCCAACAGTTGCGGCTGGTGGGTAGGTGCCACTGGTTGCAGCTGGTGAGTAGGTGACACCGGTTGCGGGTGGTGGGTAGGTGCCACCAGTTGCGGCTGGTGGGTTTGTGGTCTCCTCATCCTCCTTATTGCACCGAATAAATATGCAAATACTACTACCGACAAAAGATGAGTACATGCTGCTAAAAAATCCAACGACTTCAATTGGGGAATAATCATCAGTATTTGTCTGTCGTACATACAACCAAAAGTGATATTCAGCCTTTCGTAATAACAGCCATCTGCAACATTGTAGTCTGCTTCTATAAGGTCGTATATTTGACACTGTTCCGCAGCGGAACACATGTTGTAAATTGACGTTGTAACGTTTTCAACTACTTTACCTGAATCGTTAGATGAATGAGCGATAGTGAGCGTATAATTCTACTTTTAGAGAAAGATAATGAAAACCTCCTCATTAAACAAAAATCACGCACAGGAATTCGTAACTCAGTAACACTGTTTTTATAGCTATAATAATAATATGTTTATTAACCTACCTGAGCATTCGGGAGTAAGATCGAAGAGCAGAGCTTCATATATGTGGATTTTGGTTTTAGGTCTGCACCTGATCGATAGTTGTTGATGTTCGTCGAACTCAAACTGAGCTACATGGTGTTCTGAAACAGGTTAAAATTTATTAATCGGGCATGATGAAGATGATATGGAAGTCTGGTATGCGTCAAGGTACGACTCTTCCTGGCTACAGCCGAGTCCTTCTATGTGGCTCTGATTCATGGACTCTCAGCCAAACCCTCGCGAAGCGTATACATATATATATAATATAATAATACATTATATTATATGGATGTTATACGAAAATGGCACTTAACATAGACTGGTCAGAGCGGATGGACACCTCATTAGAGCAACTGATAAGATAGCTGAGCGGAGAATGAGGCTAGCTGGTCATCTCGCTGGACATGACGAGCTCTTGACCCATCAGCTTCCTCTTCACGGACATCGTCGTAGGGGAAGTCCACACCTCACCTACGTAGACATCTTGTGGAGGGACACAGGGCTTGACAACAGCAAGGAGATAAACAAGCTCATGCTGGATAGACAGATTGAGAGACAAATCTGCTAGGACATTGGAGCCGAAGTCGAGTAAGTCGGATCCAAGGGGGGGGGGGGGGGGGGGGGGGGGGGAGAAGCTCTTTGAAACTACAACTCTCATTGTTTCAGGAATAACGTAATTTTAATGGCCAAACACAATTCTATAAAATTTGGCTCGATCTGATCATCGGAACTATCTAATGAATGTTATAATTAACCTTCATTCGAAACAATAAAAATATATGTTAACGTTTGACGAACCTTGCACTCTTGCTTTTTTTTGACATTCCCGATACACATCAGTTGTAAAGTTAACATTAATCAGGACGCTTGAATCCTCCCATCCAAACGTTGAGCTGTTACGTTTGTAGCATCCAATGTGTTCTGTCGTCTTCTTTTTCGGATCAGCTGATTCTGATAGTATCATGTGACATATCACAGATAAGATCACCGCTCTGATTTCCATGATATCCCTACAGACGTTCTAAAGTTTATGTAAATGTGACTAATTTGTGCATTACTAATAGACAATAGTCTGAAGACGGGCATAATGCCATCATTGAATGAAAAATTAAACTGTAAAACTTAAACTGTAAAACTTCACAATTATACCTGAAAAACCGCCAGTCTGCCTTAAGATATCCAATAGGTCTTCACAATATCAAGTTGTATTTCCTTTCAGAGCCCCTCAAGAGACGAAATTGCAACTCATCGGAAAGTTGCCAAAAATAAATGTTATCATAAGTCAGGATCAAATGATAAGCAAGAATGTGATTCATGTTTGATACAAGAGAAACTCCATTTTCGGACGTGAGGAGAGTTAGGACTCCTCCAACTACATTAAATCAATTCCTTCTGTAACGTTCTGAATAAACATAGTTACGAAAACAAAATTTACTAAACATTTAAAACATTACTGAATACCAAAATTACATTACTAATGCAAAGATACAACAAAAGAACAAATATAATAATAAATCAAAACAAATATAAACATAATATAACAATAACAAAATAACAACCAAACATACGACATTTGGAGAATGACTCAGAAGCGTAAAATATCAAATTTGCTCCTTCATCAAAACAAATTTTCAAAATTTTAATTTTACAGAAAGAAATGTTACAGAAAAGGGCAATTAAATAAAAATGTTAGTTGTTAAAACCTCATAAAACTTATGTGTACACGGATATTTAGCCTCTATGAACTTTTAACATTACATATGTATTTATTTAAGAATTCTGATTTTTCTGAATAATTCAATTTTAAGAGATTTCACATCTTTAATAAATCCTTCTAAATTCGTATTTACATTACATAGTGTAAACAATTGTGAATAAAATACATCGTATGATCTTCTATCAGGGACGTTCGATTTCAAATTAGGCATGCTTAAAACTGTAAAATGAAAATCATTCCTTTTATCATAATATTATAATAAACCTGTACAGATTTTATGGACCAATATTAGGAATATTATTAAAAGCTAGATGGAAATAAAACGTCTTTAGGGCCAGGGCATTTTTAAAACATTCTACATAATATGATAATGATCTCACTGAGTAGGGTAGTTCATTCCAAATTTTTGGTCCACAAAACATAAATGCAGCAATCATCTGTTCGTCTGAAGTGAGGAGCAGGAGGAACTTTCAACAAAAAAAAGTCATCATCTAGTCTGGAACTTCGTCTTCGTACTTCTCTTAGATCGAAGTAGAGTCTTTGGTACCTTGACCGTTTATGGAAGTGTTTTGAATTTCCTTCTCAAATCTCAATATTAGAGTAAATGGTTTTTACTTTTTTGTCAAAGAAAGTCTTGAGTTTGTCAGCAACTTCGATATCTTCACCATTTGGCAATTTTTGGTGCCATATTCTTTATATAAAAGTTTATTTATGACTTGATAGGTCCCTTTTGAGTCTCCTTTGCAAGAACTGAGCTGTTTATCATAATATAGTAGCTATCCCTAGCTCGATTGATGGTGATTTCTGCGTCAACACACTTTTCAAAATGACTAGTCTTAAACTCATCATTCTCTGGATTCTTTTTGGCTCTTCGTTTTGCTCGTCTCCTCTTACGTAATAATATGTGAATAAACCCCTCAGGCCTCAGGTTAATGTGGTTGGTAAGTCCCATATTTCTTGACTGTAGCTAGATGGACAGACAATTTCGAATTATAGAGTTATAGTGTTGATTAATGTAATGAATATTTATCCTTTAATCTTATATTAACATTTTTCGACTGATTTGAATGTCCTGCACAGCAGATCGAAGCATATCTAAATTATTTACTATTTTAATCATATTGCTGCGTAAATTTGATTATAATTATAATTACAATAATTCCTTTAATCTTATATCAGATAAGGACAAACAGAGGCTGTATTGGATTGAGAAGTGTATTCAGAACATCCGACACCATCATTGCGTGGTTGCTTCTCTGAAGCATCTCCGAGAGATGTGTAAACTTTACTCTGGTCAGTACCTATACCATACCATTTTATTACCCCTAATTAGTCCTTATAATTATCCCTGATTAGTTATATGTTGATTAATTTCGATTGATTGATTGTGATTGTAAACCGGGCCGAGATGGTGTCCGGGTGGATGTAATGACCAAATTTAATCTTAACAAATATAATAAAAATAGTAATAATCCCTCACAAGGGCACTGCACGCTTAATAGGAAAATGCCACACTGTGTAGATCAGCACTTAACGACGGAATTTAAACCTCAATTGACAAATATCGCGAAAACTTAAATTTTTGATAGGATATTGTATTATATTGGTTATTATTATATTAATGATTAAGTACCCCGTCTGGTACCAATATTCAACTTGATGATAATAATAGTTTTTGTGCTCAATTCCACTCAGCTCGCTTAAGTCGGACCTTATTATCTGATTAGTCGAATAATTACATGTTCACATCTCCATTAATTACAGAATCTCACCACGGATACGGCTATGTTCACAAGATGAAGCAACTAGAGCGAGATAACACCCTCATCCAGCTTGTCATCAACGACATAGAGTTCTACCTGGACCAGGTGAGATGGTCACATTATACTGACATAGAGTTCTACCTGGACCAGGTGATATGGTCACATTATACTGACATAGAGTTCTACCTGGACCAGGTGAGATGGTCACATTATACTGACATAGAGTTCTACCTGGACCAGGTGATATGGTCACATTATACTGACATAGAGTTCTACCTGGACCAGGTGATATGGTCACATTATACTGACATAGAGTTCTACCTGGACCAGGTGAGATGGTCACATTATACTGACATAGAGTTCTACCTGGACCAGGTGATATGGTCACATTATACTGACATAGAGTTCTACCTGGACCAGGTGATATGGTCACATTATACTGACATAGAGTTCTACCTGGACCAGGTGATATGGTCACATTATACTGACATAGAGTTCTACCTGGACCAGGTGAGATGGTCACATTATACTGACATAGAGTTCTACCTGGACCAGGTGATATGGTCACATTATACTGACATAGAGTTCTACCTGGACCAGGTGATATGGTCACATTATACTGACATAGAGTTCTACCTGGACCAGGTGAGATGGTCACATTATACTGACATAGAGTTCTACCTGGACCAGGTGAGATGGTCACATTATACTGACATAGAGTTCTACCTGGACCAGGTGAGATGGTCACATTATACTGACATAGAGTTCTACCTGGACCAGGTGAGATGGTCACATTATACTGACATAGAGTTCTACCTGGACCAGGTGATATGGTCACATTATACTGACATAGAGTTCTACCTGGACCAGGTGAGATGGTCACATTATACTGACATAGAGTTCTACCTGGACCAGGTGAGATGGTCACATTATACTGACATAGAGTTCTACCTGGACCAGGTGAGATGGTCACATTATACTGACATAGAGTTCTACCTGGACCAGGTGAGATGGTCACATTATACTGACATAGAGTTCTACCTGGACCAGGTGAGATGGTCACATTATACTGACATAGAGTTCTACCTGGACCAGGTGAGATGGTCACATTATACTGACATAGAGTTCTACCTGGACCAGGTGAGATGGTCACATTATACTGACATAGAGTTCTACCTGGACCAGGTGAGATGGTCACATTATACTGACATAGAGTTCTACCTGGACCAGGTGAGATGGTCACATTATACTGACATAGAGTTCTACCTGGACCAGGTGAGATGGTCACATTATACTGACATAGAGTTCTACCTGGACCAGGTGAGATGGTCACATTATACTGACATAGAGTTCTACCTGGACCAGGTGAGATGGTCACATTATACTGACATAGAGTTCTACCTGGACCAGGTGAGATGGTCACATTATACTGACATAGAGTTCTACCTGGACCAGGTGAGATGGTCACATTATACTGACATAGAGTTCTACCTGGACCAGGTGAGATGGTCACATTATACTGACATAGAGTTCTACCTGGACCAGGTGAGATGGTCACATTATACTGACATAGAGTTCTACCTGGACCAGGTGAGATGGTCACATTATACTGACATAGAGTTCTACCTGGACCAGGTGATATGGTCACATTATACTGACATAGAGTTCTACCTGGACCAGGTGAGATGGTCACATTATACTGACATAGAGTTCTACCTGGACCAGGTGAGATGGTCACATTATACTGACATAGAGTTCTACCTGGACCAGGTGAGATGGTCACATTATACTGACATAGAGTTCTACCTGGACCAGGTGAGATGGTCACATTATACTGACATAGAGTTCTACCTGGACCAGGTGAGATGGTCACATTATACTGACATAGAGTTCTACCTGGACCAGGTGAGATGGTCACATTATACTGACATAGAGTTCTACCTGGACCAGGTGAGATGGTCCTTTACTGAAAAGGTTCTACGGACAGGTGGTGGACCATTATACTGAATGAGTTTCCTGGACCCGGTGATATGGTCAATTATACTGACATAGGTTTCCTGGACCCGGTGTATGGTCACTTATACTGACAAAAGTTTTTACCCGGACCAGGTGATTGGTCCTTTTACGAATAGAGTTCTCCTGGACCCCGGGGATTGGTCACATTTCGACATAGAGTTCTATGGACCCCCGGGGATATGGTCACATTAAAACTGCATAGAGTTTCCTGGACCAGGTGAGTGGTCACATTATACTGAAAAGAGTTTACCCGGACCGGTGAGTGGTCCATTATATGACTGAGTTTACCGGACCCGGTGATATGGTCACATTATACTGACATTTGAGTTCTCCCGGACCAGGGGAGATGGTCACATTATACCGCATAGAGTTTACCTGGACCCGGTGAGATGGTCAATTATACTCATAGAGTTTACCCGGCCAGGGGAGTGGTCCCATTATACTGACATAGAGTTCTACCTGGACCAGGTGATATGGTCACATTATACTGACATAGAGTTCTACCTGGACCAGGTGAGATGGTCACATTATACTGACATAGAGTTCTACCTGGACCAGGTGAGATGGTCACATTATACTGACATAGAGTTCTACCTGGACCAGGTGAGATGGTCACATTATACTGACATAGAGTTCTACCTGGACCAGGTGAGATGGTCACATTATACTGACATAGAGTTCTACCTGGACCAGGTGAGATGGTCACATTATACTGACATAGAGTTCTACCTGGACCAGGTGAGATGGTCACATTATACTGACATAGAGTTCTACCTGGACCAGGTGAGATGGTCACATTATACTGACATAGAGTTCTACCTGGACCAGGTGAGATGGTCACATTATACTGACATAGAGTTCTACCTGGACCAGGTGAGATGGTCACATTATACTGACATAGAGTTCTACCTGGACCAGGTGAGATGGTCACATTATACTGACATAGAGTTCTACCTGGACCAGGTGAGATGGTCACATTATACTGACATAGAGTTCTACCTGGACCAGGTGAGATGGTCACATTATACTGACATAGAGTTCTACCTGGACCAGGTGAGATGGTCACATTATACTGACATAGAGTTCTACCTGGACCAGGTGAGATGGTCACATTATACTGACATAGAGTTCTACCTGGACCAGGTGAGATGGTCACATTATACTGACATAGAGTTCTACCTGGACCAGGTGAGATGGTCACATTATACTGACATAGAGTTCTACCTGGACCAGGTGAGATGGTCACATTATACTGACATAGAGTTCTACCTGGACCAGGTGAGATGGTCACATTATACTGACATAGAGTTCTACCTGGACCAGGTGAGATGGTCACATTATACTGACATAGAGTTCTACCTGGACCAGGTGAGATGGTCACATTATACTGACATAGAGTTCTACCTGGACCAGGTGAGATGGTCACATTATACTGACATAGAGTTCTACCTGGACCAGGTGAGATGGTCACATTATACTGACATAGAGTTCTACCTGGACCAGGTGAGATGGTCACATTATACTGACATAGAGTTCTACCTGGACCAGGTGAGATGGTCACATTATACTGACATAGAGTTCTACCTGGACCAGGTGAGATGGTCACATTATACTGACATAGAGTTCTACCTGGACCAGGTGAGATGGTCACATTATACTGACATAGAGTTCTACCTGGACCAGGTGAGATGGTCACATTATACTGACATAGAGTTCTACCTGGACCAGGTGAGATGGTCACATTATACTGACATAGAGTTCTACCTGGACCAGGTGAGATGGTCACATTATACTGACATAGAGTTCTACCTGGACCAGGTGAGATGGTCACATTATACTGACATAGAGTTCTACCTGGACCAGGTGAGATGGTCACATTATACTGACATAGAGTTCTACCTGGACCAGGTGAGATGGTCACATTATACTGACATAGAGTTCTACCTGGACCAGGTGATATGGTCACATTATACTGACATAGAGTTCTACCTGGACCAGGTGAGATGGTCACATTATACTGACATAGAGTTCTACCTGGACCAGGTGAGATGGTCACATTATACTGACATAGAGTTCTACCTGGACCAGGTGATATGGTCACATTATACTGACATAGAGTTCTACCTGGACCAGGTGAGATGGTCACATTATACTGACATAGAGTTCTACCTGGACCAGGTGAGATGGTCACATTATACTGACATAGAGTTCTACCTGGACCAGGTGAGATGGTCACATTATACTGACATAGAGTTCTACCTGGACCAGGTGAGATGGTCACATTATACTGACATAGAGTTCTACCTGGACCAGGTGAGATGGTCACATTATACTGACATAGAGTTCTACCTGGACCAGGTGAGATGGTCACATTATACTGACATAGAGTTCTACCTGGACCAGGTGATATGGTCACATTATACTGACATAGAGTTCTACCTGGACCAGGTGATATGGTCACATTATACTGACATAGAGTTCTACCTGGACCAGGTGAGATGGTCACATTATACTGACATAGAGTTCTACCTGGACCAGGTGAGATGGTCACATTATACTGACATAGAGTTCTACCTGGACCAGGTGAGATGGTCACATTATACTGACATAGAGTTCTACCTGGACCAGGTGAGATGGTCACATTATACTGACATAGAGTTCTACCTGGACCAGGTGAGATGGTCACATTATACTGACATAGAGTTCTACCTGGACCAGGTGAGATGGTCACATTATACTGACATAGAGTTCTACCTGGACCAGGTGAGATGGTCACATTATACTGACATAGAGTTCTACCTGGACCAGGTGATATGGTCACATTATACTGACATAGAGTTCTACCTGGACCAGGTGAGATGGTCACATTATACTGACATAGAGTTCTACCTGGACCAGGTGAGATGGTCACATTATACTGACATAGAGTTCTACCTGGACCAGGTGAGATGGTCACATTATACTGACATAGAGTTCTACCTGGACCAGGTGAGATGGTCACATTATACTGACATAGAGTTCTACCTGGACCAGGTGAGATGGTCACATTATACTGACATAGAGTTCTACCTGGACCAGGTGAGATGGTCACATTATACTGACATAGAGTTCTACCTGGACCAGGTGAGATGGTCACATTATACTGACATAGAGTTCTACCTGGACCAGGTGAGATGGTCACATTATACTGACATAGAGTTCTACCTGGACCAGGTGAGATGGTCATTATACTGACATAGAGTTCTACCTGGACCAGGTGAGATGGTCACATTATACTGACATAGAGTTCTACCTGGACCAGGTGAGATGGTCACATTATACTGACATAGAGTTCTACCTGGACCAGGTGAGATGGTCACATTATACTGACATAGAGTTCTACCTGGACCAGGTGAGATGGTCACATTATACTGACATAGAGTTCTACCTGGACCAGGTGAGATGGTCACATTATACTGACATAGAGTTCTACCTGGACCAGGTGAGATGGTCACATTATACTGACATAGAGTTCTACCTGGACCAGGTGAGATGGTCACATTATACTGACATAGAGTTCTACCTGGACCAGGTGAGATGGTCACATTATACTGACATAGAGTTCTACCTGGACCAGGTGAGATGGTCACATTATACTGACATAGAGTTCTACCTGGACCAGGTGAGATGGTCACATTATACTGACATAGAGTTCTACCTGGACCAGGTGAGATGGTCACATTATACTGACATAGAGTTCTACCTGGACCAGGTGAGATGGTCACATTATACTGACATAGAGTGCTTCTACCTGGACCAGGTGAGATGGTCACATTATACTGACATAGAGTTCTACCTGGACCAGGTGAGATGGTCACATTATACTGACATAGAGTTCTACCTGGACCAGGTGAGATGGTCACATTATACTGACATAGAGTTCTACCTGGACCAGGTGATATGGTCACATTATACTGACATAGAGTTCTACCTGGACCAGGTGAGATGGTCACATTATACTGACATAGAGTTCTACCTGGACCAGGTGAGATGGTCACATTATACTGACATAGAGTTCTACCTGGACCAGGTGATATGGTCACATTATACTGACATAGAGTTCTACCTGGACCAGGTGAGATGGTCACATTATACTGACATAGAGTTCTACCTGGACCAGGTGATATGGTCACATTATACTGACATAGAGTTCTACCTGGACCAGGTGAGATGGTCACATTATACTGACATAGAGTTCTACCTGGACCAGGTGATATGGTCACATTATACTGACATAGAGTTCTACCTGGACCAGGTGATATGGTCACATTATACTGACATAGAGTTCTACCTGGACCAGGTGAGATGGTCACATTATACTGACTTGAGACACATTACATATCTTACATAATTATTTTCTTGGGGGTGAAACGTCCGTATATGTCCGCTTGTCTCATAGAATCCAAAAAGAACAGGACAGGACCGGGCATAGGCGGGCATAGGCGGACAAAAGTGGACAGCAAAATTTTGTTAAATTTTGCTAAATTTTGCTAAATTTTGTTAAAATTGTCTAATGAGGCGGGTGATAATTTTTTTAAAAGTCAAATTTTTTGTGGTTCACCCTGTAGACCCTGTTTTAAGGGGTATTTCCGAGATCGCATTACAAGGGGGGAACCCTCGATCTCGAGTCCAAAATCGTATATCGAAGGGTAGGTGCGGACTTCGAAAACCGAACAAATATTTTCGGCTAATAATGATCAGGGTAGCATGAAACATGAACAAAATTAGGGGAAGGCCTGTCAGTGCTGGGTTTCAGAAGGTGAAAACCCAGCACTGGCAGGACATAGGCGGACATTGGCGGACATAGGCGGACATGTCACCCCCCTCCCTATGTTACATATTACTTTACAGTTTACATATTAAACTTATTAAACATATTGTACAAGTCCTATGATACTGCCTTGAGACACGCCGTATTTTTATTCAGAACATCAAACATCATCATTGCGTGGTTGCTTATCCAGCAATTTGAGACTAATTTCAATTTGAGACTAATTTTAAATGTTTCTCCAGACGAAGAAATTGCCGGATATTGAGACTTGTAAGCCGACTGAAGTACTTTCTACTAGATGCTATTCCCACGTTGACGAGCTTAACGAACGGCTGGAGTTCATCAGGTGGAGTCGATTAATTGAATATCTAAATTTATTATTATTAATGTTTTAAGCAATGAAAACTTTATAATTTATCGATCATTTACAGTAACTCGTGATAACACTGAGAAATCTCTTGGAAATTTCAAATAAAGTTTATTCGAAATTTGATTTGAATTGACTGTTAAAGTCTTTATAATTATAGAATTGTTTAATTGGCTGATTATCTAATTATCTAATTATCTAATTATCTAACACATTTAAACAGGTTCACATTGAAACACGCCAACTGTTATTTGTCACTTACCCATGCTATGCAACTCTGGAAACACTTGACTACTCACAGAATATATCCTTCCGACATGGACATCATCTTCAGATGGTACGTGTTTTATCCTCTTCACATGGTACGTGTTTTATCATCTTCACATGGTACGTGTTTTATCATCTTCACATGGTACGTGTTTTATCATCTTCAGATGGTACGTGTTTTATCATCTTCAGATGGTACGTGTTTTATCATCTTCAGATGGTACGTGTTTTATCCTCTTCACATGGTACGTGTTTTATCATCTTCACATGGTACGTGTTTTATCATCTTCACATGGTACGTGTTTTATCATCTTCAGATGGTACGTGTTTTATCATCTTCAGATGGTACGTGTTTTATCATCTTCAGATGGTACGTGTTTTATCATCTTCAGATGGTACGTGTTTTATCATCTTCAGATGGTACGTGTTTTATCATCTTCAGATGGTACGTGTTTTATCATCTTCACATGGTACGTGTTTTATCATCTTCACATGGTACGTGTTTTATCATCTTCAGATGGTACGTGTTTTATCATCTTCAGATGGTACGTGTTTTATCATCTTCAGATGGTACGTGTTTTATCATCTTCAGATGGTACGTGTTTTATCATCTTCAGATGGTACGTGTTTTATCATCTTCACATGGTACGTGTTTTATCATCTTCAGATGGTACGTGTTTTATCATCTTCAGATGGTACGTGTTTTATCATCTTCAGATGGTACGTGTTTTATCATCTTCAGATGGTACGTGTTTTATCATCTTCAGATGGTACGTGTTTTATCATCTTCAGATGGTACGTGTTTTATCATCTTCAGATGGTACGTGTTTTATCATCTTCAGATGGTACGTGTTTTATCATCTTCAGATGGTACGTGTTTTATCATCTTCAGATGGTACGTGTTTTATCATCTTCAGATGGTACGTGTTTTATCATCTTCAGATGGTACGTGTTTTATCATCTTCAGATGGTACGTGTTTTATCCTCTTCAGATGGTACGTGTTTTATCATCTTAAGATGGTACGTGTTTTATCATCTTCACATGGTACGTGTTTTATCATCTTCACATGGTACGTGTTTTATCATCTTCACATGGTACGTGTTTTATCATCTTCAGATGGTACGTGTTTTATCATCTTCAGATGGTACGTGTTTTATCATCTTCAGATGGTACGTGTTTTATCATCTTCAGATGGTACGTGTTTTATCATCTTCAGATGGTACGTGTTTTATCATCTTCACATGGTACGTGTTTTATCATCTTCAGATGGTACGTGTTTTATCATCTTCAGATGGTACGTGTTTTATCATCTTCAGATGGTACGTGTTTTATCATCTTCAGATGGTACGTGTTTTATCATCTTAAGATGGTACGTGTTTTATCATCTTCAGATGGTACGTGTTTTATCATCTTAAGATGGTACGTGTTTTATCATCTTCAGATGGTACGTGTTTTATCATCTTCAGATGGTACGTGTTTTATCATCTTCAGATGGTACGTGTTTTATCATCTTAAGATGGTACGTGTTTTATCATCTTCAGATGGTACGTGTTTTATCATCTTAAGATGGTACGTGTTTTATCATCTTCAGATGGTACGTGTTTTATCATCTTCAGATGGTACGTGTTTTATCATTTCAGATGGTACGTGTTTTATCATCTTCAGATGGTACGTGTTTTATCGTCTTCAGATGGTACGTGTTTTATCATCTTCAGATGGTACGTGTTTTATCATCTTCAGATGGTACGTGTTTTATCATCTTCAGATGGTACGTGTTTTATCATCTTCACATGGTACGTGTTTTATCATCTTCAGATGGTACGTGTTTTATCATCTTCAGATGGTACGTGTTTTATCATCTTAAGATGGTACGTGTTTTATCATCTTCAGATGGTACGTGTTTTATCATCTTAAGATGGTACGTGTTTTATCATCTTAAGATGGTACGTGTTTTATCATCTTCACATGGTACGTGTTTTATCATCTTCACATGGTACGTGTTTTATCATCTTCAGATGGTACGTGTTTTATCATCTTCAGATGGTACGTGTTTTATCATCTTAAGATGGTACGTGTTTTATCATCTTCAGATGGTACGTGTTTTATCATCTTCAGATGGTACGTGTTTTATCATTTTCAGATGGTACGTGTTTTATCATCTTCAGATGGTACGTGTTTTATCGTCTTCAGATGGTACGTGTTTTATCATCTTCAGATGGTACGTGTTTTATCCTCTTCAGATGGTACGTGTTTTATCATCTTAAGATGGTACGTGTTTTATCATCTTCAGATGGTACGTGTTTTATCATCTTCAGATGGTACGTGTTTTATCATCTTCAGATGGTACGTGTTTTATCATCTTAAGATGGTACGTGTTTTATCATCTTCAGATGGTACGTGTTTTATCATCTTCAGATGGTACGTGTTTTATCATCTTCAGATGGTACGTGTTTTATCATCTTCAGATGGTACGTGTTTTATCATCTTCAGATGGTACGTGTTTTATCATCTTAAGATGGTACGTGTTTTATCATCTTCAGATGGTACGTGTTTTATCATCTTAAGATGGTACGTGTTTTATCATCTTCAGATGGTACGTGTTTTATCATCTTCAGATGGTACGTGTTTTATCATTTTCAGATGGTACGTGTTTTATCATCTTCACATGGTACGTGTTTTATCATCTTCACATGGTACGTGTTTTATCATCTTCAGATGGTACGTGTTTTATCATCTTCAGATGGTACGTGTTTTATCATCTTCAGATGGTACGTGTTTTATCATCTTCAGATGGTACGTGTTTTATCATCTTAAGATGGTACGTGTTTTATCATCTTCACATGGTACGTGTTTTATCATCTTCACATGGTACGTGTTTTATCATCTTCACATGGTACGTGTTTTATCATCTTCAGATGGTACGTGTTTTATCATCTTCAGATGGTACGTGTTTTATCATCTTCAGATGGTACGTGTTTTATCCTCTTCAGATGGTACGTGTTTTATCATCTTAAGATGGTACGTGTTTTATCATCTTCAGATGGTACGTGTTTTATCATCTTCAGATGGTACGTGTTTTATCATCTTCAGATGGTACGTGTTTTATCATCTTCAGATGGTACGTGTTTTATCATCTTCAGATGGTACGTGTTTTATCATCTTAAGATGGTACGTGTTTTATCATCTTCAGATGGTACGTGTTTTATCATCTTCAGATGGTACGTGTTTTATCATCTTCAGATGGTACGTGTTTTATCATCTTCAGATGGTACGTGTTTTATCCTCTTCAGATGGTACGTGTTTTATCATCTTCAGATGGTAAGTGTTTTATCATCTTCAGATGGTACGTGTTTTATCATCTTCAGATGGTACGTGTTTTATCATCTTCAGATGGTACGTGTTTTATCATCTTCAGATGGTACGTGTTTTATCCTCTTCAGATGGTACGTGTTTTATCATCTTAAGATGGTACGTGTTTTATCATCTTCACATGGTACGTGTTTTATCATCTTCACATGGTACGTGTTTTATCATCTTCACATGGTACGTGTTTTATCATCTTCAGATGGTACGTGTTTTATCATCTTCAGATGGTACGTGTTTTATCATCTTCAGATGGTACGTGTTTTATCATCTTCAGATGGTAAGTGTTTTATCATCTTCAGATGGTAAGTGTTTTATCATCTTCAGATGGTACGTGTTTTATCATCTTCAGATGGTACGTGTTTTATCATCTTCAGATGGTACGTGTTTTATCATCTTCAGATGGTACGTGTTTTATCATCTTCAGATGGTACGTGTTTTATCATCTTCAGATGGTACGTGTTTTATCATCTTCAGATGGTACGTGTTTTATCATCTTCAGATGGTACGTGTTTTATCATCTTCAGATGGTACGTGTTTTATCATCTTCAGATGGTACGTGTTTTATCATCTTCAGATGGTACGTGTTTTATCATCTTCAGATGGTACGTGTTTTATCATCTTCGGATGGTACGTGTTTTATCATCTTCAGATGGTACGTGTTTTATCATCTTAAGATGGTACGTGTTTTATCATCTTCAGATGGTACGTGTTTTATCATCTTCGGATGGTACGTGTTTTATCATCTTCGGATGGTACGTGTTTTATCATCTTCAGATGGTACGTGTTTTATCATCTTAAGATGGTACGTGTTTTATCATCTTCAGATGGTACGTGTTTTATCATCTTCGGATGGTACGTGTTTTATCATCTTCAGATGGTACGTGTTTTATCATCTTCGGATGGTACGTGTTTTATCATCTTCAGATGGTACGTGTTTTATCATCTTCACATGGTACGTGTTTTATCATCTTCACATGGTACGTGTTTTATCATCTTCAAAAAGAGAGATGCAGGTCACAGGGAACGTAATATTCTCTCAGATATTTATATCCTGATGATGATACATACAGCATACTATAATATGTTGTTGTAAAGTTAAGAAGTGGGTGGCGGATACCATATTATGTCAATATGAGCATGGCTAATGAAGCTGTGAATATTATTTTAATGAAATTCATAGACTTTATTGCACACATGTATAATGGTAAGTTCTTTAAGGTTTAAAAGTAATGTTTCTGATGAAAATTTCTGATAATAACATAATATTGTATTCCGATAAAGAGAAAATGCTCTTTTGGGACAAAGGAAATTGGTCAACGTTTCAATGTCACTACATCACAATCATGTTCGCAAATTATTTGGTATTATTATAGTGTTGAAAGTATTAAAAAGTAAGTAAGGAACACTCCTCAGGTTTGGAGAGTTAGTGGGGGAAGACTCAGACATAGAGGCCTGTGTTAGTAGGCAACTGTTCGTGGAGAAAATGTTAGCACTCGACCCTGCCACCTACACCGAACCAGGACTAAGGTTTATAATATAATATCATAACATAATATTATTATATGATATTATTATATAATATTATTCGCCGAACCTTCACAATTCAATGTATGGTATTAGTGTTTTAAGCATGTAATTTAATCATGTTAATGGGATCCTTGTTTAAAATCTGTTTCACGACTAGAGCCAATTGATAAAGCTTATTACTCAGCCTAGCCTATTCCTTTACAATCTTTATAATGTTGCAGATGTTTCGAGAACTATTTCAAAGAAGTTAATGAGAATGAGATCAGAGAAACAAAGAACAGTCAGAAACTACCGGATGAGGAATGCGAACCTTTTATTGGTAAGAAGTTCTGCGGAGGGCTGGGGGCGGGGGGCGGGGGGTCTGCGACACAAGACTTTATTTAGGGATCAAGAATCAAGACTATCATGCAATGCAGTGTTGGGAATCCTTTTTTTTTGCTGTTGGTCATAATCCAAAAATCTTTATCAATCGATTAATCAATTAGTTAACAATTATATTTATTAAGTTTATCACCAACTTAATTAGTTAATTACCAATTAGTTAATCATTCTATTAACATCAACTCAGGAACTGATTACATCTGGCGATTAGTGATAGAAGGTAGAGAGGAGCTGACTGAGTATTCTATAGCACTTCTCAAAGATATCTACAGTAGTGCTACTGTTACTAACCAGGTGATTTGATGAGTAATTAATTAATTAACTGATCAATTAGCTTGTAATTAATTTTTCAATATGATCATGATTCATCAATTTTCTACTTAAAGTATAGGGCTTGGGAATGTAACATTAAGGTTCTTCCAGGAACATAAGTCTGTTTTTAGTATAAACGATATATTTTCAAGTATTATATTATGAAAGTTTCTGGGATGACTAGATTAAACACTGCTGCACTGAGTACTGTATAAGTTTATCTGTTTATTTTAATAGTGGTGTTATTAAACTTCAATTTATTATTATTGTTATAATATGTAAGGTTATGATAGGGTAAGTATATTTAAGGTCTCAAATTAAAGGTCTCGAATTTAAGGTCTCAAATTAAAGGTTTCGAATTAAAGGTTTCAATCGGTCAAATTCATTTCAGTTTGTTAGACATAACGAGTTTATCAAGACGTGTTTCACGAAAGCTCGGCAATGTTTTTATCAATACGAGGTAAGATATGTAGACTAACCTCTGGGTAAGTTTTAATGTAGTTTTATTCTTAAGTTTGCTGTGTCTTTATCAGTGAATATATTGTATTAATTTCATTTTTCATCACTCGCGTTTTATCAATATTTAGTGACTACTTAAAAGTAATCCAGCAATGCAATAATTGTGATTCTGCTGTTTAGGTTGTTAGAATAATAATAACGATATTAAACTGTTTAGGATGCAACCTAATGTCATGATATTTTTGAACTTATTAGCAATTTAAAGACTGTTAACTCGCTTCATAAGCATGTCATCTTCGTTCCAAAACTTTTTATGACCTATGCATACACTCCTTGATAGTTATCTTGATCTAGTATCTTTGTTTCACACAATAGAGCATAAGTTTTGTGGTTTATCCACTGGGCTTAGATTTTGTGTTTAAGCTACCAAATTTTATTATTATTATTATATTGATAGAAATATTTTAAACAAAGCTATTCATGCTCAAACTATGAATAAACAATGCATTATAATTATGCTCAATAGTTTCATAAGAAAAAGAACCATTATGATTCAATAATTAATATAAAAAAGTAAAAAGCAAGATAATATGACGTATAAAACTCACATATTAAATCCTTATGACTTATCAGGTCCAGCAGTACCCAAAGCTCCTGGCTAGACAGACAATCAGAATACTGCACGTGCTTAGGGAGTATGTGGTGGACAACATGGACAAAAGTAAGTGTTCAAAAGTTAGAATGATGTTGTAAATCTAGGTATTTACTATTATTAAAGTATTTAAGGTATTTAGTTTTAAAGGTATTTAACATGAGGACGTTGGTTCTCCAGAGACCTAAAAAATTAAAATTTATGAGCTTTTTTAAATGTGATAAAGTTTGAAACATGAACACTGATCAGCACAGAAGTAAATACAAAACGTTTCTACGGTTGAGCACTGAGCCCCAGATAATACGCCCTCTCATTATCTGGGGCTCAGTGCTCGATATGTAACTTTCTCCCCCCCCCCCCCCCCCCCCCCCTTCAATATGTAACCCCCTCAACCTGTAACCCCATCAACCTGTAACCCTCTCAACATGTAACCCCCTCAACATGTAACCCCCTCAACATGTAACCCCCTCAACCTGTGACCCCCTCAACCTGTAACCCCCTCAACATGTAACCCCCTCAACCTGTAACCCCCTTAACATGTAACCCCCTCAACATGTAACCCCCTCAACATGTGACCCCCTCAACATGTAACCCCCTCAACCTGTAACCCCCTCGACCTGTAACCTCCTCAACATGTAACCCCCTCAACCTGTAACCCCCTCAACATGTAACCCCCTCAACATGTAACCCCCTCAACATGTAACCCCCTCAACATGTGACCCCCTCAACATGTAACCCCCTCCCCTCTCATAACTCGTATCACGTGTACAGGTGTGACCGGGGTGGTACATGAGGGTATGACAACACCCTCACACGAACGATCCTGGCAGGGAATACCTGTCATCATCATCGCACAGCTACTTGGACCTCACGATAAGGTCAAACACAAGGATTTATTTTTCTATCATCACTTGTTCTGCTGAGAATTGTTTAATCAGTAATGCTGATTTAATATTCGCATTATTGACGATCTTAGCCGTTTAACTGATCATTTTAACGGATCATAAATTGTATGTTAAACAATTTTTAAGAATCCACAAAACTTCCTCATTGACTTATCGAATCATCTGTAATATTCTGTATTAATTAATATTAATTTAACTAATTAACACACTCACAGGTGCTGGAGAATATAGAAGTCCTAACGCACACTAACGAAACTCTAGGAACCATCAGAAGGAACCTTGTAGCTCACATTTGTAAGAACGAGGTTCCACCAACACCCCCTCACATACAGCTGAAGTGAGTTTTTTATTTGTTAGACAGTATCTTTATAATTAGCATCACTAAGTTATGGTTTAACTAATAACTAATAAGTTATTTAACTCATAACTATTAAGTTATTTAACTGATAACTAATAAGTTATTTAACTAATAACTAATAAGTTATAATTTAACTAATTGTTATATTAAGATTGATTATATTAATGATGGCAATGAAATGGTTACAAATGTTTAATTTACTCTAATATAATGTGGTGCAGCCGTTACTATATAAAAATAAAGATCGATGAAATGATCTTAATCCTATAATACGTTTTTTAATTTAAAAAGTGTTCCCTATTGCTTGATCAATAAAAATCGAATCTTGAATTTCCAAGTTAACTCTCCGAACCCTCCAGAGTTAACAACGAGGAACTGGCGCCGTCACTGGACAGAAAGGCCCTGATACAGCTAGATCTAAAAGACAGACAAGTGCTGACTGTCCGTGTGATGACGTCACTCCACATCAACTCTCCCAGCAGTTCCAGTACCAGCTCCGCCGATCTCTTTAACAGTCCTTGTTAGTGTCATTTTTTACCCTTTTTTACCCTGATCCGATCAGCTGTTTTTGTTTACTCAAAAAATCAGAGATAAGATGTAGAAATAAATAATAATAATAATAAATTGACAATTGATAGTTTGTGGGTGGATTTTATTCAATATTTGAATTATTTTGAACAACTTGTCAATCAGCTACCTAAAATCTAACTTCCAAGTTATGGTAACTACGTGTAAGTCATGGTAACTACGCGTAAGTTATGGTAACTAAGTGTAAGTTATGGTAACTACGTGTAAGTTATGGTAACTAAGTGTAAGTTATGGTAACTACGTGTAAGTTATGGTAACTACGTGTAAGTTATGGTAACTACGTGTAAGTTATGGTAACAACGTGTAAGTTATGGTAACTACGTGTAAGTTATGGTAACTACGTGTAAGTTATGGTAACTACGTGTAAGTTATGGTAACAACGTGTAAGTTATGGTAACTACGTGTAAGTTATGGTAACTACGTGTAAGTTATGGTAACTACGTGTAAGTTATGGTAACTACGTGTAAGTTATGGTAACTACGTGTAAGTTATGGTAACTACGTGTAAGTTATGGTAACTACGTGTAAGTTATGGTAACTACGTGTAAGTTATGGTAACTACGTGTAAGTTATGGTAACTACGTGTAAGTTATGGTAACTACGTGTAAGTTATGGTAACTACGTGTAAGTTATGGTAACTACGTGTAAGTTATGGTAACAACGTGTAAGTTATGGTAACTACGTGTAAGTTACGGTAACTACGTGTAAGTTACGGTAACTACGTGTAAGTTACGGTAACTACGTGTAAGTTACGGTAACTACGTGTAAGTTATGGTAACTACGTGTAAGTTATGGTAACTACGTGTAAGTTATGGTAACTACGTGTAAGTTATGGTAACTACGTGTAAGTTATGGTAACTACGTGTAAGTTATGGTAACTACGTGTAAGTTATGGTAACTACGTGTAAGTTATGGTAACTACGTGTAAGTTATGGTAACTACGTGTAAGTTATGGTAACTACGTGTAAGTTATGGTAACTACGTGTAAGTTATGGTAACTACGTGTAAGTTACGGTAACTACGTGTAAGTTATGGTAACTACGTGTAAGTTACGGTAACTACGTGTAAGTTACGGTAACTACGTGTAAGTTACGGTAACTACGTGTAAGTTACGGTAACTACGTGTAAGTTACGGTAACTACGTGTAAGTTACGGTAACTACGTGTAAGTTATGGTAACTACGTGTAAGTTACGGTAACTACGTGTAAGTTACGGTAACTACGTGTAAGTTATGGTAACTACGTGTAAGTTATGGTAACTACGTGTAAGTTATGGTAACTACGTGTAAGTTATGGTAACTACGTGTAAGTTATGGTAACTACGTGTAAGTTATGGTAACTACGTGTAAGTTATGGTAACTACGTGTAAGTTACGGTAACTACGTGTAAGTTATGGTAACTACGTGTAAGTTACGGTAACTACGTGTAAGTTACGGTAACTACGTGTAAGTTACGGTAACTACGTGTAAGTTATGGTAACTACGTGTAAGTTACGGTAACTACGTGTAAGTTATGGTAACTACGTGTAAGTTATGGTAACTGCGTGTAAGTTACGGTAACTACGTGTAAGTTACGGTAACTACGTGTAAGTTATGGTAACTGCGTGTAAGTTACGGTAACTACGTGTAAGTTATGGTAACTACGTGTAAGTTATGGTAACTACGTGTAAGTTATGGTAACTACGTGTAAGTTATGGTAACTACGTGTAAGTTATGGTAACTACGTGTAAGTTATGGTAACTACGTGTAAGTTATGGTAACTACGTGTAAGTTATGGTAACTACGTGTAAGTTATGGTAACTACGTGTAAGTTATGGTAACTACGTGTAAGTTATGGTAACTACGTGTAAGTTATGGTAACTACGTGTAAGTTATGGTAACTACGTGTAAGTTACGGTAACTATGTAAGCTACGTAAGTTAGAGCTCTATAACAGACTGCAACACCAGGTAGTCCTATCAAGCAGACCAAGTACATCCCGTGGTTATTGTACGTGAGCGACGTTGCAATGCATCACAAGCAGATAGACCTATGTGATGCTGTCACTGCTATCCTCAACATATTCCCTACAGGTATTCCTCCTTCAGTTGTTTGTCTGGTATTTCAGGTATTTTAGGTATTTTAGGTGTTTGTCAGGTATTTTTAATCAATAATTTGTATGTCAGGTATTCTGCTATCGTAGGTTTCACTTTCTTGTTTCCTTGATCATTATAAACTCCCTCCCAGATATGGAGATAGAGCAGGATATAACAGAGCTAGCTGCTACTCAGGCTACCGAGGTGGTACAATCACAAGATGAGAACACAGAGGTAAACTTAGCCCCCCCCCCCCCCCCCCCCTGACAAGTTGATATACAATGTGTTAGATAATTTAGCCAATATACGGATACCTTACAGCTAACACTAAACACAAGTTATACCGCAATAAACTCCCTACCCCGGCTAACCCCCAGTTCCCAACTAAACCCACATACCCCCAGTTCCCAACTGACCCCCGATACCCCCAGTTCCCAACTAACCCCACATACCCCCAGTTCCCAACTAAACCCACATACCCCCAGTTCCCAACTAAACCCACATACCCCCAGTTCCTAACTAAACCCACATACCCCCAGTTCCCAACTAAACCCACATACCCCCAGTTCCCAACTAAACCCACATACCCCCAGTTCCCAACTAACCCCCGATACCCCCAGTTCCCATCTAAACCCACATACCCCCAGTTCCCAACTAAACCCATATACCCCCAGTTCCCAACTAAACCCACATACCCCCAGTTCCCAACTAAACCCATATACCCCCAGTTCCCAACTAACCCCCGATACCCCCAGTTCCCAACTAACCCCCGATACCCCCAGTTCCCAACTAACCCCCGATACCCCAGACTCCAGCTCCAGCAGCAACAGACAGCTCCCTCTCCACCGCTATATTCCTGGACTCCAACTGTGGTGGAGTGAGGTACAAGCTAGAGATAGTGTACGCGTTACTCATGCCTGCTGTTCCCTCAGCTAAGAGTGTCAAGTTCAGAACAGACTTCATTCTAGCTGGTAAGAATCTTAAAATGTGGCCCATTCTCAACGTCTGATCATGAGACAAACCTCTAAACTTTCTGGAATTTAACGAAAGTGACGTCATCATAACCCAACAATGACGTCATGATCCCTGTCTAGGTGGTGTAGAAACAGTTTTATCTCTACTGCAAAACGAGCGATTCCTCTGTGGAGCAGATAAACAAACGAGGAGGAGCTGTCTGCATATCTTTGCGAAGATAACAAAGTTTGTTCTCACCACCCTGTGTTATGGCACTCTTGCTTTGTTCAAGGTTTGTGTACATTCTTTTCTTTTTTTTACATTTTTTTACATTCTTATTTGGGTTTGCGAAAATTTTTAGGCTTTAAAACAGGAATTAGGTTTGTTATCTGCAAATGTTATCAGGTACAGTTTATTAGAATTGATTTCAATATAAAAGTAGCGAAGGTAATGCCACAAAATTACAATTTTAATATTTAAGTTAAGTTCAAGTAAATAATATTTCAGAAGAATACTCCGTCATCTCGAGCCGCTCTGAACCTCCAGAACTCTCTCACCAGCATTCCCAACCCTGCAATTGAACGTGGTTAATTATTTAATGATCATTACATTTTAGCTTGCCACATTCGCATTCCGCTGGATATTTTTGACGCAATTGAGAAGAGATTCCAATAACAAATAGGAGCTTGTTTCTCAAAAAATTTGAATTGCACCTTTGCAAGCACCTTTCCAACTTTCCAATTTTGAAGAGAAATTCCAAGTATAAGACATCAAAATTGATCCTTCAAACAAACATTTAAACCTCTTCAAAATATAATATCATATTTTTGCCTCATTGTAGATATTTTGTTCGTGTGTAAATGACAAAAATATATAATTGTAATACGTTGATGTACAATTTATTTGAATTTTAAAATAAAAATATCACAAACTTTCCTCCGGGCTGCCTCCTAAAACTCATTACTTTCCCCGCTAGTGCTAAGGAACGCAGCACATCACACCGTACAGAATGAACTCGTGTTAGAGAGACTACAAAAGAATGAGCAAGCTGTCCCTACCTTGAAGTATATCCAGGTAATTAGTTGATAATTAATTGATAATTAGTTGATAATTAGTTGATAATTAGTTGATAACTAGTTGATAATACATCCAGGTACTGACTATCAGGACATTATAATTATAATTTAGATAATCGATCGATTAGATTGCATTAATTTAATGTTTTGACAAGATCACAAAATTATTGTACATAGTTTTTTCATGTAAATTTATAACTAAATATTGTTTGTTCAGCCTTTTACAATTTAAAATTTAATGAATTTGTATACACAACAATATCTTCAAAGTTATCTAAATATCAAATTTACTTAAAATGAAACGGAATAATTTATTTGATTGCGACAAAATCAACTGTAACCGTTCACATTTAACAGGCGATATTTCGTTTGACACGAAGATGCGCGTTTGGGTACGACTTGCTACCACATCCTATTATAGTAAATGAGGCTACAATCAACAACAACATACTTTTTGAGGATGTCTGGCTGGCCCAGGTGAGCTAATTAATCAATTAATCAATTAATAGTTTAATTGATTTATTGATAAGGTCGCGATATTTAATGATAAAGTATTAAGTTGTGTCAGTAAAATGACAACAGATATAATATATTTATATCTTTATATATATTTATTATAGGGTATATATGATATAATATGTAGTAAGATGTATTATTGTCAGCAGTTGGGTGGTATGTTTTAAACCACTATGTTCGTGGCATGTCCCATTTTCTAATTATACACGTGTTATTTGATAATACGTTTGTTAATTATACACGTGTTAGTTGATAATACGTTTGTTAATTATACACGTGTTAGTTGATAATTAGTTGATAATTAGTTGATAATTAGTTGATAATTAGTTGATAATTAGTTGATAATTAGTTGATAATTAGTTGATAATACGTTTGTTTAGTGTTTACTCAGATCGTTAAAAACCTCAAAACTAGGAATAATCATAATTTGTTTGGTGAGAGATAATTTAACAACTGTTTGGAAGAAAATTGCTTGAAAACAGGAATTATTAAAATACTTGTACTCTACAAGGTCTTTCCAAGGGTTAACCACACGCCACATAATAGTAATTTAACCACAATTAACACTGATTAGATAAGAATCTATCTGATGTTGACCGTTAAAAAGAACCGTTTGATGGCCTGTTGAAAACCAGCTACGAAACGAAACGAAACACTGTATTTACTACCCCGCTACTAATTACTATGCGACAAAGATATTGTATAAAATATAACTAAATAATTTACACAATACGGTGCCCAATACTAACTAATTAGTATGATATATACTATTAATGTTTATATATAAACATTAAACCTGCTGTTGTCCCCAGGAGCTGATGGAGAATCTGACGATTTGTTTCATGCATCAGCCTCTTATCCTGGAGGACCTGTTGGTGAACGAGGAATTCAAGGAATTTATCGTAAACATGATACTCGTGTGCTCCAGTCAGTTTGTCCGACAGGTTTGTTATTGTGCTCCAGTCAGTTTGTCCGACAGGTTTGTTATTGTGCTCCAGTCAGTTTGTCCGACAGGTTTGTTATTGTGCTCCAGTCAGTTTGTCCGACAGGTTTGTTATTGTGCTCCAGTCAGTTTGTCCGACAGGTTTGTTATTGTGCTCCAGTCAGTTTGTCCGACAGGTTTGTTATTGTGCTCCAGTCAGTTTGTCCGACAGGTTTGTTATTGTGCTCCAGTCAGTTTGTCCGACAGGTTTGTTATTGTGCTCCAGTCAGTTTGTCCGACAGGTTTGTTATTGTGCTTCAGTCAGTTTGTCCGACAGGTTTGTTATTGTGCTCCAGTCAGTTTGTCCGGCAGGTTTGTTATTGTGCTCCAGTCAGTTTGTCCGACAGGTTTGTTATTGTGCTCCAGTCAGTTTGTCCGACAGGTTTGTTATTGTGCTCCAGTCAGTTTGTCCGACAGGTTTGTTATTGTGCTCCAGTCAGTTTGTCCGACAGGTTTGTTATTGTGCTCCTGTCAGTTTGTCCGACAGGTTTGTTATTGTGCTCCAGTCAGTTTGTCCGACAGGTATCACCTACTAAGCCATTAGATCAGTTAACTAACTTTGTAATCAAACTTTATGTAATTTAACAAGATGATATAACTTAATATAACTTAAAATCGTTCTTTGAAACTGTGATGTGCGTGATCAGTCTTACTAATGACTCTACTTTTTTGTAATTCTCTTAAATTTCATTTAAAGTATTATGTTGTCTCGTAATCTTGAAGAGTGTTAAATTACAGTAATCACTATTCCGAAAGTCTTGGCTTTGGTTCGTTAATTTAGATTTTGTAACATGAACATTATATTAGGTTAATTATCTTATTAATTTATTTATTTATTAATTATCTCATAATTAATTAATTATCGCAGGTAGTATCGGATCAGCTCTATATAATGTGTGTAAAGTGTTGCGTGGCTGGGAAAAGCGTCCTCGATGTTATCAAGCTTTTATTTGATAACCTTCACAAGACAGGTTTCTAGATAAGTAGATAGTTAACTAAATACTGATTACTAATTACTAAATACGGATTACTAAATAGTGGGAATAGCTAACTAATAACCAAATTGGATATTATCTTTCTTTCACATTCCAATATATAATGGTTATATGAGTGAGCAATTGAGTTCAGTCGCTGTCAAACAATCTAAAAACCCACAGACAACTTACTTCATGATCTTCAAATAAAATTGACACCTCATTTGAAACAAAAAAATCACATATTACCACATATTACCACATATTACCACATATTACCACATATTACCACATGTTACCACATATTACCACATGTTACCACATATTACCACATATTACCACATGTTACCACATATTACCACATATTACCACATGTTACCACATATTACCACATATTGCCACATATTACCACATATTACCACATGTTACCACATATTACCACATATTACCACATGTTACCACATATTACCACATATTACCACATATTACCACATATTACCACTTTACCACATAATATTAGCTAATCCTTTGTTTAATGTTTCACAGAGGACTATGGTGATAACAGTTGTTTCTACTTCGGACTACTCAGTAGAATCCTTGCCTGTGCTGCACATCATAATATAATCGTTTGTAACAGCGACTCCCTCCTAGAACAAGAGGTATGTGACCCTGGCCCGACCCTGGTCATTAGAGTTATACTAGTACTACTTCTAGTAGTGTAGTATATAGTAGTAGTACTAGTACTAGACTCTCTGTTAGAACAAGAGGTAGGTACATAGATAAGAAGTTTTCTAGAATCTTAAATAGGATAATTTCAAAATGGAATGGGTGAAATAAGAAGTTTTTCAAAATGGAAGTGGTGAAACAGTAAAACTGCAAAAAATGTCCCTGGAAGGTTTTGAGATTTTTCGTTAGTTGTTCTTCTTAGTGTCAGTTTGTATTTATCGAAGTGTTTTATTTCATACAACATGAAATACGTCATTGAGGATGAATTGAAGGACTGTTTCAATTTACTGTATACTAGGTATTCCTTCAAATAATACACGATATTATTACATATTCAACAATTTACCGAACAATTTCCTTGACAGTGTAAATAAGCCAACTCACGCTGAGCTGTGTGTTTCAGGTCGCATGGTTAAAGAGTATAGAACATCATAACAAGTTTCATCCTCTCAACGAAACACTTCTCAAAGGTGTGTTTCTATTTTTACTCAATGTTTTGAATAGTTGTTGCTCAATGGAAGGCGGGATAATCTTGCCTCCTCCGTCAACGATTCTGAGATTTTTTATTCCTCCGCTTAAAATGTTAACCACATGATGTAGGACCCGCAAGCAATAACGCAGTCACAAAATTAAATTCTATCTTTGGAACCGCGCGCCACTGGCGTATGGGTAAGAAGCAAAACACGCGTGTGACCAGTACACCGGTCCAACCCAAAATGTTATTTTATGTAGCGCGCAGCGACATTACTGTGATAAAGGATTTTCTCGCCCCTAGTTGAATTAGTCACGTGACTTAGCGCGCTACCCCGCGCGGTTAATCAATCAAATTAACCGTTCTGACTTTAGGTTTTAGTTTATTAGGGGCCAAGAACGTCGAAATAACCAGGTCAAAAGCGAAACCGTATAATTTGTTCTTTCAACCATCCATGGTTTGAAAACATAAGGTTTACTAATTACTATAAACCATGACATCAGACACTGTATTCTTTCATCAATCTCCACCTGTTATCTGCCATAGAAGCAGCTGGACTGACTGAAAACATTGTGTAGGGGTAATTCAGGGAATGAACCAGGGGATGTGGTCATTAATTGGAAGAAACAATAAAGGCTAGAAGAGCCTTTATTGACACCATCACTCGAATCGAGTGATGGTGTCGGTTTCACAGTCTTCTCAATAGGTTATCCGTGCATAATTGATGGGAGTTTCTTTTTGTACTGAGAACTGAGTGTTAGGTAGATTCACATGAGGACTCGTCACTATCGTTGATGGATGTGGTATAACAATACTCAAGAAGGCAAATCAGCCTATCGTCTTGACCCAATGATAACAATTTCAAACCAGTAATATTCTCCAGGGCATCTCCAGATCTGTCGAGAGCTGGTTTCAATCTCTTCTCTGCCCACTAAACTGTTGCTAGGTAGCCAAGATAACGGACCTTTACTTCTTCCCTCTCTCCTCTTCAATTATCTCTTCCCCGCAAGCAAGGTAAAACGTGCTCTGGAGATTATGTCATATGTGTTCTATTTCATCCTATTTGGTAGATTTTTTAACGCTTTATTTTCGTTTGAGACTGTGTTGATGCGATTATTTTTTTTAGATGTTGTTGGATCAGAGAAGGTTTCCTGATATTGAGATTAGAGACGATCTTCCAATCTGCCAGACCCCTCAAACACAGGTCAGTTGTGTAAATATAACGGGATAATATTCTGTACGACATTTGGTTTGATACGAAGTACTGATAATCATTGTTATTGTGTCCTGAGCACTGAAGATTTCATCTTTGTAATCAGTACACCCACTCTCCAGGAAGCTGCATTTAATCTAGTTGGAGCACTGTGTAAAGGCTGCTTAGAAAACCTTGGATTTGTCGTTAACTCCACGAAAGAGCTGTTCTACTCCGAACAGAACTTACTCAACTCATGGGAATTTCCACCTTCTATCCACCCTAGGAACCCAAAAGGTAGGTTTATCACTAGGTTATATACAACGATATTGATAATCACGTCGCTGGAATCACAATGAACTACCCGTAGGATTTGTTGGACTAAAGAACGGCGGAGCGACCTGTTACATGAACGCAGTTCTGCAACAGCTCTACATGATCCCTCATATCCGAGCTAACCTGCTTTCTTTGCCGTGTTTGGAGGAGGATGGCAGAGAAGAGGAGGAGGAGGACGAAAGGAAGGAGGGGAAGGAGGGCGAGGAGGGGGAGATGTCCCCAGCTAAGCTTCATCACCTCGGTGTTGCTAAACAGGTCGGTTGTTCAGTATGTGCTTTTATAATACAGCAGAGTTTCAGGACCATAATAATACTTTATATATATTCAACTATAAAGCTGTTTAATGAATTACTCTTTAATGAATTACTCTTTAATGAATTACTGTTTCCGAAACCTATGTTCAAGTCATCTTGAAATAAAAGTATAGTCCATTTCATAGTGTTGTCATGGTAACTGAGACATTCTTGTCAAGAATTGACCTAAACTCCATCACAGGTTCAATCAATATTCTGTGCTCTAAAAGAATCAAAACACCAATACTACACCCCTGACGGTTTCTGGAGAGCGTTTAAACTGTGGGGAGAGCCGGTGAACCTGCGGGAGCAACACGATAGTCTGGAGTTCTTCAACGCTCTTCTCGATAACCTGGTCGAGGGAACTAAAGCTCTCCAACAGCCGCCTTTTATAACGGAGATGCTGGAGGGGAGCTTCGCTGATCAGAAGATTTGTAAAGATTGTCCTCACAGGTACGGGGATTGTTGAGAGATAGTGTGGGGTGAAGGGGTATTCCCCCCCCCCCCCCCCCCCCTAGTTTGGGGTGTTGTTATTGATTGATGGAGATTAAAAAGTATATCTGTGAGGATTTTAAATTCATTTGAATAGGTTTTGTCACTTTGAAACATTTTGGAAGTCTAATCTATCACTTTCTTTGTAATTGATTTCACTTTCTTTCACTTTCACTTTCACTTTCACTTTCACTTTCTTTCTCCGGTAGGTACACACGGATAGAACCTTTTCTTTCTATTTCTGTAGATGTTAGGAACCACGAGAATCTCACAGATAGTTTGGATGAATTCGTTAAGGTGAGATATCTTACCTCTTACATATTGTGACACCTTAAACTTAACTTAAAGCTCAAATATAACATCTTCCACTTTTCATTTTAAATATAGCACCTTGAGTCTTACCTCCTTAATCTTGAATTTACATCTTAAATCTTTCGTCTTAAAACCTTGCTTCTGTTTAAGCTGGCAAGATGTTATCGACAGCAAAAAATATCCCCTGATTGAGACATCTTAAAAATCTTACACCTTAAATATTGCTATTACATATACTTATCGAAGATATGACACGAAGGGTTCTATAAATCAGGTGGAATTGGACATAAAATAGCCATTCTCCTATGAAGCTATGATCATGTATAAATGTCCGTTATCTACAAGTTGTTCTCTCACGCTTGTTTTCGCTAATATAATGTAACTTATCAATGTGATAACTACCCAAACTCGTTGGATAAAACATGTTATCACACTCCAAGCAGTGATGTAACATGTTATCACACTCCAAGCAGTGATGTAACTGCTTATTCTTTGGTGTAACACATTCTCAACTCACTCTTATCACACAGGGTGACCTGTTAGAAGGGAACAATGCGTACCACTGTGAACTGTGTGACAAGAAGGTAGACACCGTGAAACGGCTCTGTTTCCAGCGACTGCCAAACATCTTGGCTATTCAACTCAAACGGTCAGTCGATCGGTTTCTATTCGAACACATTGTGATTATGTGAGATGCTATCAGTATATTAGATTTTATTTCAAGATCAATAAAAGCTATAACAAGCTTATACCCCCAGCCCCTCTCTCTCTCTCTCTCTCTCTCTCTCTCTCTCTCTCTCTCTCTCTCTCTCTCTCTCTCTCTCTCTCTCTCTCTCTCTCTCTCTCTTTCTCTCCCCCCCCCCCTCTCTCTCTCCTCATAAGTTACCTGATCGAAAAGGAATAACTCGTCACATGACCAGGTTTAACTCGTCACATGACCAGGTTTAACTCGTCACATGACCAGGTTTAACTCGTCACATGACCAGGTTTAACTCGTCACATGACCAGGTTTAACTCGCCACATGACCAGGTTTAACTCGTCACATGACCAGGTTTAACTCGTCACATGACCAGGTTTAACTCGTCACATGACCAGGTATAACTCGTCACATGACCAGGTTTAACTCGTCACATGACCAGGTTTAACTCGTCACATGACCAGGTTTAACTCGTCACATGACCAGGTTTAACTCGTCACATGACCAGGTTTAACTCGTCACATGACCAGGTTTAACTCGTCACATGACCAGGTTTAACTCGTCACATGACCAGGTTTAACTCGTCACATGACCAGGTTTAACTCGTCACATGACCAGGTTTAACTAGTCACATGACCAGGTTTAACTCGTCACATGACCAGGTTTAACTCGTCACATGACCAGGTTTAACTCGTCACATGACCAGGTTTAACTCGTCACATGACCAGGTTTAACTCGTCACATGACCAGGTTTAACTCGTCACATGACCAGGTTTAACTCGTCACATGACCAGGTTTAACTCGTCACATGACCAGGTTTAACTCGTCACATGACCAGGTTTAACTCGTCACATGACCAGGTTTAACTCGTCACATGATCAGGTTTAACTCGTCACATGACCAGGTTTAACTCGTCACATGACCAGGTTTAACTCGTCACATGACCAGGTTTAACTCGTCACATGACCAGGTTTAACTCGTCACATGACCAGGTTTAACTCGTCACATGACCAGGTTTAACTCGTCACATGACCAGGTTTAACTCGTCACATGACCAGGTTTAACTCGTCACATGACCAGGTTTAACTCGTCACATGACCAGGTTTAACTCGTCACATGACCAGGTTTAACTCGTCACATGACCAGGTTTAACTCGTCACATGACCAGGTTTAACTCGTCACATGACCAGGTTTAACTCGTCACATGACCAGGTTTAACTCGTCACATGACCAGGTTTAACTCGTCACATGACCAGGTTTAACTCGTCACATGACCAGGTTTAACTCGTCACATGACCAGGTTTAACTCGTCACATGACCAGGTTTAACTCGTCACATGACCAGGTTTAACTCGTCACATGACCAGGTTTAACTCGTCACATGACCAGGTTTAAGTCGTCACATGACCAGGTTTAACTCGTCACATGACCAGGTTTAACTCGTCACATGACCAGGTTTAACTCGTCACGTGACCAGGTTTAACTCGTCACATGACCAGGTTTAACTCGTCACATGACCAGGTTTAACTCGTCACGTGACCAGGTTTAACTCGTCACGTGACCAGGTTTAACTCGTCACGTGACCAGGTTTAACTCGTCACATGACCAGGTTTAACTCGTCACATGACCAGGTTTAACTCGTCACATGACCAGGTTTAACTCGTCACATGACCAGGTTTAACTCGTCACATGACCAGGTTTAACTCGTCACATGACCAGGTTTAACTCGTCACATGACCAGGTTTAACTCGTCACATGGCCAGGTTTAACTCGTCACATGACCAGGTTTAACTCGTCACATGACCAGGTTTAACTCGTCACATGGCCAGGTTTAACTCGTCACATGACCAGGTTTAACTCGTCACATGGCCAGGTTTAACTCGTCACATGACCAGGTTTAACTCGTCACATGACCAGGTTTAACTCGTCACATGACCAGGTTTAACTCGTCACATGACCAGGTTTAACTCGTCACATGACCAGGTTTAACTCGTCACATGACCAGGTTTAACTCGTCACATGACCAGGTTTAACTCGTCACATGACCAGGTTTAACTCGTCACATGATCAGGTTTAACTCGTCACATGATCAGGTTTAACTCGTCACATGACCAGGTTTAACTCGTCACATGACCAGGTTTAACTCGTCACATGACCAGGTTTAACTCGTCACATGACCAGGTTTAACTCGTCACATGACCAGGTTTAACTCGTCACATGACCAGGTTTAACTCGTCACATGACCAGGTTTAACTCGTCACATGACCAGGTTTAACTCGTCACATGACCAGGTTTAACTCGTCACATGACCAGGTTTAACTCGTCACATGACCAGGTTTAACTCGTCACATGACCAGGTTTAACTCGTCACATGACCAGGTTTAACTCGTCACATGACCAGGTTTAACTCGTCACATGACCAGGTTTAACTCGTCACATGACCAGGTTTAACTCGTCACATGACCAGGTTTAACTCGTCACATGACCAGGTTTAACTCGTCACATGACCAGGTTTAACTCGTCACATGACCAGGTTTAACTCGTCACATGACCAGGTTTAACTCGTCACATGACCAGGTTTAACTCGTCACATGACCAGGTTTAACTCGTCACATGACCAGGTTTAACTCGTCACATGACCAGGTTTAACTCGTCACATGACCAGGTTTAACTCGTCACATGACCAGGTTTAACTCGTCACATGACCAGGTTTAACTCGTCACATGACCAGGTTTAACTCGTCACATGACCAGGTTTAACTCGCCACATGACCAGGTTTAACTCGTCACATGACCAGGTTTAACTCGTCACATGACCAGGTTTAACTCGTCACATGACCAGGTTTAACTCGCCACATGACCAGGTTTAACTCGTCACATGACCAGGTTTGGCTATGATTGGGAGAGGGAGTGTGCTGTAAAGTATAACGACTATTTCGAGTTCCCTGACACCCTATCAATGGAGAGGTACACTGTGGACTTCCTGTCCAGGATTGAGGAGACCGCTGCTCATCAGATGATCGAGACAGGTTTCTGTCAATATCTTATTAATTAATCAGTTAATTTATTAAGTTAATTAATTTGTATTCAGGTGCCTTCTTAAATGCTTTTGGAGTTTCTAATCATATCTGTTTCAGGTGATAGACAAGACATTCCGACTCCATCAGACCACTCAAACTATCGACTGGTTAGTTGGTTTAGTTAGTTTAGTTAGTCTAGTTAGTTTAGTTTAGTTAGTTTAGTTAGTTTAGTTAGTTTATGTTAGTTTAGTTAGTCTAGTTAGTTTAGTTTAGTTTAGTTAGTTTAGTTTAGTTTATGTTAGTTTAGTTAGTTTAGTTAGTTTAATTAGTTAAGTTAATTTAGTTAGTTTAGTTTAGTTTAGTTAGTTTATTTAGTTTATTTAGTTTATTTAGTTTATTTAGTTTAGTTACTTTATTTAGTTTAGTTAGTTTAGTTAGTTTAATTCAGTTTACTTTAGTTTAATTTAGTTTAATTTAGTTTAATTTAGTTTAATTTAGTTTAATTTAATTTAATTTAATTTAGTTTAGTTAGTTTAGTTAGTTTAGTTAGTTTAGTTAGTTTAGTTAGTTTAGTTAGTTTAGTTAGTTTAGTTAGTTTAGTTAGTTAGTTTAGTTAGATCTCTTACCACGTGATACTACCCCACGTGACTAACACGTGATACTACCCCACGTGACTAACACAATCTCCAGGTGGGTGTGGTTGTACACAGTGGTCAGGCGAGTGGTGGTCACTATTACAGCTACATAAAGCAGAGGATTGACGAGGAGAGTGGTGTGGTAGATAAGTGGTACAGGTTCGATGATGTGGATGTTTCCGAGTGTAATGTTGATCAGGTGAGATTAACCGAAACTTAGTCCATTTGTAGCTAGATTATCGGGAATACCTAAACTTGTTCAACTAATCTCTGTCAGTAAGGCAGTATGTAATACCTTATACGCTTTGTCACATGATTACTGGGAACGTCATTTAACGATATTATTAATCTGCAGCGACACTTTGTCCCTCATATCTTTTTAGGTTCTGATGATGAAAGAAAATATTCTACCAATGTTATACAAATTTTATTGAAATTTCAACTCTCATTCGTTGTCTGATTGCGGGAAATATTGATTCTTGACACTTTATCCCCCAGGAGGGTCAGATGGCTCGACTCTGTTTCGGAGGAGACAGCAATGACGCAGACTCTCCCGACAAGAAACCAATCGGTCGGGCTCAGAAGAGGTGGTGGAACGCCTACATTCTCTTCTACGAAAGAGTGGAACCCACTCCACCGGAACCAGCACCCGCTGAGGAGCTGGCTGGAGAGGGTGATGATGTGAAGGTGATTTGTGAGGGGGTGATGGATCTTAATTTGAAGTACGACCCTCCGGCTGTGTTGGTTAGACAAGTCCGACAGGAGAATCTCACTTTCTTTCATCAGGTTAGACGCTAATTATATAATTAGGCGCTAATCATCTAATGTTAGAAACTATTGTTTATCCATAAATTGCCACCCCACCCTCTCCTATCCCCTTCCCCTTCCCGCCAAATTTCCTACTAAGCGTTTAAAGGTAAAAATCGTGTGCCTTTGAAATCAAAATGTTGTGAGCATAGATTTTAGAAATGGTCTAAAATTGTATCTAAGAAAACACATTCAGGTAGAAATTTGATATCGATATCCAAAATCATTAAATCGTAGTTTGCACCACCAACATTAAACATAATATTATTACTTTATTAGTGTTCACAATCAGAATCCTCACACCGTACATCCCGAACCTCCGTATACCAAAACATGTGATCATCCAAACATTGTCTCTTCACCGGTCGTCTGCATGATCCCGAGTGTGTTGTACACGGTCCTGAGGTGACCCACACCTCGCACTCTTCCTGTGATAACACACTAAACACACTGAGAAAACACACCAAATACACTGCAACTAAAAACCTCATGTTAGGGGACGATACATTAAGGGGACTGTAATGGTTGGGGTAAATGTGTGGGGTGCCATTTTGTTTTAACAGAATGTGACGTCATCAGGGACTGGTTTAGTACTATTTCTGGACATTGGATCTTCGTTTAAGACTTTTTCAGAAGTTTTCTCCAGCATATCATTATTTTTTCCCGAGTAAAAATAATTGTTACTTCCATCATGATTCAACTCAATTAATTGTTCATCTGTAATATTATTTTAGGTATAAGTATAGAGTTAGTGGGCCCTGTTATTGTTTAACACGGACCTGTCAGTTTGTGAGCATCTGGCTGTGGTTAAAGACTTTGTTTTGGTTTGAGAGCCCTTTGTTTTGGGTACGATATTTTGTTAGAGATAAATATCACCTCAATATGACTCCACAATACAGCCCGATTAGCTTCGGCTTAAACAAGGACATTGTATTCAAATATTATGGGCAGCACTTCAGAACGTCATTACTTCGGGGTTTCTTTCTTGATTATTCGAAAAGCGAATGATCTCATAGAACTTACCTCCCCTTAACCTCCCCCCTCACCCTTAACTCCATTTATCACCCCCAACCCCCCCTAACTCCCTTTATCACCCCTTCCTTTGCAACCCCATTTTCTTGTTACCTCTGAATCAATAACCATCTCTCTACCCTCTAGCGAGCACTCTACTCAGCCGAGTTTGCACAGTACATAAAGTACGTAGTGTTACCCAACGTGGTCTACAACAACGCCACTACCACCCCTGAGACCAGCTTAATCAGTGAGACTTCCACGTACGGCTCATCTGAACAGATAGCTCTCGACTGTCTTGATCTCTTGGCTTCCTATCTGTTTCAGGTTGGAAATCTTCTTTATAAAAAATTGTATTGTTTTTTTGATCAGGACATTATTTATGAAACGCCCTATAATAGTGCTTGTTTTTTTAACTCGTCAAATACGTCTGTCAATTTGTGAATCTGCCCGAATCTGTCGGGGGGGGGGGGGGGGGGGGGGGCCAGTCTGTCTATTTGCACTTTGCAATCGGTTATCTCTGTATCTGAAATGTGTCTTTTGGCGAAATACTTTTCAATGTGTTTATCTTCTATTTACCTGTCTTATATTTATTAGTCTTTCTAACGTTGTGTCTCTAAACAGACAGGTTTTCTGTGCAAGAAAAAAATGCGGGGGCTATTGAAATTGGGGTCTCTGTTATCTGTAGTAGCGTTGTAGTGTTGTTGTCAGTGTATGTAGGATTGGACACGTACACGATGAGCTGCTGTCGGCTTATCTAATTAACGATCAGCAAGACCAGATAACACTTGATAATTATTAGTCTTTACCTTAACAGACAGGTTTCCTGTGTAAGAAAGCAGTGAGAGGACGTATAGAAGAGTGGCAGGATATTCTCCTGAACCTGCTGCAATCTAGTGATGTGTGCAGGAGGTGGTTTGCAGCTAACTACCTGTTTAATACCCCGAACAGGTTAGTTTATACTGTTTAGTGTCACACGTGTTGGTTAATGATCAGTTTTAATAATAAGTTCTTAGTTAGTTTCTTTATTTTTAGTTTTCTTTGATATAAGTTTTCTTTAATATTAATATTAATTAGTATTCTTTAATATTAATTAATACTCGACTAACATGTCTGATGAAGAATGTTAAACCTCTCTCACAGATTCTACCAGTACCTGCTAGATTGCCCTATGTCCGATGTTAGAGCCTCGTTTGCCTTCATCATAGTAACCCTGGCTAAACTTAGCATCCCCGACCCACCACTTTCTCTTTCGGAGCTTAACGCCTGGACAGCTGACGGGTTAGTTCTTAATAAGCGAATTAGTTCTTAATAAGCGAATTAGTTCTTAATAAGTGAATTAGTTCTTAATAAGTTAATTAGTTATTAATAAGATAATTAGTTCTTAATAAGTTGATATTTATATCGCTTTTCTCACTGCATGCATCTACTCGTTTTCAGCTTAATCTACGTTCGAAATTCCATATAAAAAATTCGCATTATAAAGCACTATCGCCTTACTCATTACTTAATACCACAGGTATAGTTACGGTATAGACTTCCTAGGACCGCTCTCCCTGCACATTATTAGCGGATGCTATGCTATCCTAAACGCAGGGCGCATTGACTACAGTAAAAATCTACAACAAGTGAGTCTTCCCTATTTCACCACGATACGTGACGTCACTACTTCTTTACGTCATGTTACTACCTCATCACGTGACGTCATTACTTCATAACGTGACGTCACCATTTAATCACGTGACGTCATTATTTCAGTTGTTCCACGTGTTCTACTGTTTTATGAAAGGAGGGATCGCTGAGCGACAACAGTTACTGAAACTCGGAGTACACAAGAGGTTTATGAGGATACTACTCGAAGAAGGTAATAGCTTTTATCTTTTACAATTATCCTCGTTTATCATTAATTTATTTATTTAGTGTGATTTTATCGTAAATTTAATGGTCATTTTAGCCTCCTGAAAGAAATTTAAATCTGATTTTTAAAGGTTTTTCTCTTTTGTTCTCTGTGACACTGACCTATATTTTGTCGCATTACAAAATTCAAAATAAATTCAAGTAAAATACACAGTTTTAAAATAAATGAAGATATTAAGGTAAGTATAAGAGGTATATGTTGGAAGACTTAAAGTTGACAGATATCACAGGTAAGCCTGCACTCAGCTTTCACCCTCTCAGCAACATTCCCATCTTCCTCACAGTAGTGTTTGAAGGTCTGACAGTTCAGAGTAGGGTCAGGTGACTTGGCGTTTGCCAGCACATCCTCACAAACAGGGTCGTCGTCCTGACGACAGGATCCGCACGTGACCGGACATTCCGAGTAGACCCGCTGTCCGATAGCTGAGGGGTCATTGCACAGGTGCTGGAATGTCTGGCAGTTCAGTGTGGGGTCGGGGGCTGTCTCACTGACCAGGAAATCCACACATCCTGGGTCATCGTCCTGTCTCCCATCAGAGTCCTCTTCGGCATCATTGTCGGCATCATTGTCGGCATCATTGTCGGCATCATTGTCGGTATCATTGTTTTCTCCCTCTTCCTGTTGCTCCTCACAATTACGACACGTCAGGGCACAGTGAGCTACCATGGAGCTGTACATGAGAGAGGTGGGACTACACAAGTTGAACTCCTCCTCCAAGTAAGCACACGTGCCAGTAGAATCAGTATCTACACACTCAGTGTCATCCATGAACTAGCTCTGGCACACTGCCAACAAGCACCTGCGGGTTATTATTGGTAAAATCAACATTTTTAGATTTGGTCGCATTCCGCTATTTTGAAACCACCTAAAAGCAAAAAGGTGACTGCTCCAGCTTTTTTACTTGATCAGATTTAAAGGATTACAGATTCTTTACTCACCCAAAGAGAAAGATAAGCTTAGTGTGAACCATGATATTGTAGTCACTTACAATTGTAAAAAGATAAAACAGCTAAGAACATAAAATGGGTAATAGTGAGAAGATGGGGTTATTAAATAAGAAAGCTCTTCCTCTGCTAACTAACGAGCTTCTCGTTAGTTAGGGCTAGTTAGGGCTAACGAGCTATTTGATTAAGGCTAGACAGTAGACGTTAAACTGGTGGACATTTTCCAGGGCGAACAACGATTATTGAGTTTCAAATTTGGGTGATAAATTGGTTAGCGGGTTGTAGGTCGAATTTTAACAAAAGAATTTAGTCAATGGCTGAACCATGAGTTGTTAACAAAGTCATAATAAAAGTCACCTATTATATCTAACTATCTAATATTAGATTACAACTTAGCCGTTTATTATACCAGCAACATTAGCAAGTGTTCAATTTAAATTTTATTGGTTACTAAACATTTTTTCAATGCCTAAATATATAAGATATATCTGGCTTTGTCGTTCGAACTCCTTAAACGGGTATTCCTGAATTATGAAAAAACGTAGCTAATGGTAACCTTCTTACACATCTTCATTTACCGTAAATTCTCATAAATATATGACAATCCAAATGTACGCTATCTTAATTGAGGAGTGAGTAAACACTAAACAAACATTAACTGATTCAACTAGAATCTAGAATACAAAATTATGAAAATTATAAAAATGATAAAATAAGCATATTTTATAGGTATTATCTGATAATTAATACTGTTTTAATATCCTGACGTTATCTTCAATCTTATTTAACAGATCCCTTAACAGTCGATTCTCTGAAGAGTATTTCTTGTTCGAACTGTATATTATGACAGCACAGTATACCCTTGCCCTTGATATCTCCAGGTAAAGAGAAGATATGCTAGCTCTGCCAGAAACATCGTGTAGCACGATAACTGCAGGGTACTCTACTGAATGACAACTTGCAGCATCACAAAAATCTATCTCAACACCGGATAAATTAGACCGTTTTTCTATTGCACTTTCAATCATTTTGACGACATTTTTATCGCAACTATCTCCGATTATACCTATTTGAAACCCGCGCAACACACATGGGTCGTATAATTTATCTAGCTCCATATTTAAAGTATTAGCTATCAAACCAGCTGAGTTCACTGAAAACGCCTTATCAATAACGTGTACTACAGTCCGTGGACCATGTATGAAGTGTCCTGGTTGTAGCACTGGAAAAACAACATCTAAATCTGCAGTTTCTTCCTCTGGAACTGTCGGAATAAGGTGCTCTCTGACCTTCGAAAGACAATCAGCTATATCACAAGTATTTCTCAGATTCAGAGATAAATTGACGATATTTTCAGATAGCATGCTCTGAAACAATGAACAAACTGGTTCATAGTAATTTTGTAAAAATCCTGCGTGAGAAAGGTAGCACTTCTGACTTAAATCACATCCAATCCAGACCCAGCAGCTTAATTGTACTTCTGTTAGTCTGCGCATCAACTCTGCAGGGGAGTCCACATGTTGATACATCTCCGTCTGACTATCATCAACAAACACGTGTGTGTTGCCTCCCTCAAACACGTGTGTGTTGCCTCCATCACCCAGCGCCTTCTCCAACAGGGAGTTAGACCTCACTAGCTCCATCCTAACTATAACCACCTGGCCGTTCTGCTTGCTGTCTGATATCTTCTGTATTGTGACATCTGTACTGTCCCTCCAATCTTCTTCCACCACGGTGTTAGTGATGTTAGCTTTGTTTAATGTGTTTTGGTAGCGTTTACATGAGTTGTTCTCTAAAGCGGATATGAACAGAATGACTCTGATTTCCACCTTAGTCATGATCAGGTGTATGATTTTAGCCAACAAGATGATAGTTTTCCCTGAACCTGCTGGTCCATTAATTACCAGCAGATTCTGATCTCTGTTGAAAGCATCATGTTGTTCCGCAGTCAAGTATTCTATACCGAGCATGTCTTTGAAAATGTTGACTATGCCATTTTGATTTACATTAGCAGATACTATATTAGAAACGTTTATCACATTGGGGTTCTGGGCCCGTTTTTTGCTGAGAAATGTTATATTTCCTTTCTTCAACTCATCGTCAATGTCCAATATAGCCTGTCCTAAACTACACTTCAGTTCATTGCATAGGCGTTTGTCAGTACAGTACATTGCTACCAATACTTGTTTAATTTCCTGGTATTTGGCGAGAAAAACTTCAGTTTGAACAAAGCTAGATATCGAACCTAACACGTCATGTTTTTTCCACCAGCTTGAGAAATCTAGAAAGTCCTCTTTGCACAATATCTGCTTTTTGGTCTGTTCATCCATGTTCTGAAATAGATCACGACTTGTGCTAGGAAACGCGGACAGGCATATTATTGAGCATTGCTCTACTTCCATTTCTACAAAAACTTGTTGTAAAAGACCATTTATCAACGATTTTGTCCTTTCAAGTTGATCGCGTGATTTTGCAAATGTTCCTGTCAATTGCTTTCTCTGTTCCTCTGTTAATTCACTGTCTTCATCAATTGGGACATTCTTCACTTCAATAATGACAACATAGTTCTTCCCGATAACAACAAAGTCACATTCTGTTTTATCTGCAGCCTTACCTTTACATAGCTTGCAGTTTTTTCTGTCATGACTTTTATCACAAATTCGATACTGTTGATGGGTGTACTCGAAACCATGCAGGACTACGAAATTTTCCGGCACCTTTTCTAGAGCTCGATACACTTCAACTTCAACCTCATAATTATCCTGTAAACGTTTCTCATAGTCAAATTTACTGCTGGATGCTCCCTCTTCGTCGATGTAAACATCAATGTAGGTCTGTTTGGGGGCAGGCGGTAACATAATCGGATATTGGTTTTTAAACTCGCAATACTTTTTACAGATATCTTTTCCTTTATCTTTATACTGCTCCAATGTTCCTATCTCTGAAAATGAAGTCTGGTAATGGTTTGGCAACGAGAACTCGAAAATAGAAAATTAGAAGAAATCGCTTATTAAAAAATCATACCCGCGCCGGAAAATGTTGGCTTACCTTGATCTTTATTCTTATTCAGTAATGATGGTTTCTTTCTCTGCTTTTTACTCATTATTTCAGCTGTTAGTGATGTTTTTTGCCCTTGATAAGGAGCAAGATTACAACAACAACAATAAAGAAAGGAAAAAAAACTAGATTGCACGCTGAATGGTTATCTATTAATTATTAATATTAATTATTAATTAAATAACGTGGTGAAAAGTTCGTGTACCGAATAGTACGTGCTTAAATAACATTATCTTACTGGAAAAAGTGACAAAATATCTGTAACAAGTACAATTAACAGTTGACAGCGAACATAATGAACTTATAATTTGTTAAGTAACAACACATTGCGAATAACAGACCTTGCAACGAAATATGAGGCCATAGTGTGTAATGAATCTGTATACGTCATCGTGACTCACGAGAATATTTGTGATATAAGACAAAAATGTGTAATAAGAGACAAATGTTGGGTCAGGTGAGGTGTAATATGGCAACTTTCCAACTTGGCAACTTTCCAAGTAATGTGTAGATCTCTGCGCGTAATGTGTAGATCTCTGCTTGCAGATTAATGCCGATGTGTTAAACTTAAAGATGAAATCTTATCAACCGAGATTATTAGATCGAGAGTCATATCGAAACCTTTTTATTTAGAATTGAATCATGGGCTCATAGTTCTGAGATTTTAGACCCGAAGTGTTCTTGAGGTCCATTCTGTGTAGTCCCACCTCTCTCATGTACAGCTCCATGGTAGCTCACTGTGCCCTGACGTGTCGTAATTGTGAGGAGCAACAGGAAGAGGGAAAAACAATGATACCGACAATGATGCCGATAATGATGCCGAAAATGACGCCGATAATGATGCCGACAATGGTACCGACAATGATGCCGAAGAGGACTCTGATGGGAGACAGGACGATGACCCAGGATGTGTGGATTTCCTGGTCAGTGAGACAGCCCCCGACCCCACACTAAATTGCCAGACATTCCAACACCTGTGCAACTACAGTCTACACGGCTGTTATAAGACCGGTTCCCTTCACAAATTGCAGAGCAATACAAGCTACTAAATTGTACTTACTAAAATTATTCCATGATCGATTTAATTTAATATTTTACAAATATTCAGGTTCCAGTATGCGAGCACAATACAACGACACATCAGCCCTACACAACGTCATATCAGTTCTCCTTTGTTCCGTCGACCTCATCTCACTCCGGCAGAACAGTTCCGGATTACCTCCGGACATCCCCTGTCCGGTTAATAACTTCCAGGTGAGTGTGGCGTGACGTCACGTGAATGCTGTGACGTCACCTGAGTTCTGTGACGTCACGTGTTGCTGAAGACAGTGGAGATATCAATTGACTCAGAATGTAGTTGTGTTACTATCATGTAATTAACTAAATCAGTCACTACCCGTCAGATACTACAGAGAACGTTAGACCATGATACCAAGCAACTGCTTATCTCTGATAACTACTCCTATCTTAGAAAACTGCTGGAGGAGCCTACTGTTATGGAGCTGGAGGTAGACAGAATTACCTCTTATTTACCTCTAATTTACCTCTAATCTTTCCCCTAAATGCAGGACATTTTTATAACATGTCGTTTTATTTAGCGATATCTTAAATCAATAAAATGTTATGTTTATCTAACAATTAAGGCACGTGTTAAATCTTATAAAAGAGTGAGTTATGAAAATAAAACATACTAAGAGTAGTACCGTCAGGACATTGTACAGATGATAAAGCACGTAAGCTGGGAGAATGCTAAAGCGAGCAAGGTGGTTTTGTCAGAGTTACTGTATTACGTCTCGTCTGTTCACAGCTCTGATATGAAACCGTACCTTGTGTTCCTACTTCATATACTTCTTATCCAAGATTCGTGGCAACGGAAACGGTAAGTTATTTGAAATCTCACATAACACTTTTATTTCTAATCTTACATGTTATGCATCATGAACGAAGATTCCCTAAAGCGTCCTCCAAACAAATTCCTAACATTAACAATATTGCCAAATTATAATCTATGACTCGGAACACTTTCAGAAGAGTTCTTCTAAATTATTAAGTATTTTAAATCTCACTCTTAAGATTTACGGGGTTCATTGTATATATATATACTTTATGACTTTTGGGTAAATTTAATTTTTTATATCTGGTCAGACATTACCATTGTAATTTGACTTTTGAATCGTTTAATCCGTTTAATCCGTTTAATGCATCACTTTTCTAATCCCTATTGAGTTTGACAACGTTACATCACAACCCCACACGTGACGTCACACCCCCTAACGTGACGTCACACCCCCTAACGTGACGTCACACCCCCTCACGTGACGTCACACTCCCCACGTGACATCACAACCCTCAAGTGACGTCACACCTCCTAACGTGACGTCACACTCCCCACGTGACATCACAACCCTCAAGTGACGTCACACCCCCTCACGTGACGTCACAAAGCCAAAGAAAGTCACAAGCCAAAGAAAGTCCGTTCTACAGGGGGATCGGAACCTTCTCCTCTTAGTCGAATGTGATTACACTGACATAGATTCTCATTTATACACATTATACCATGACTAGAAACACACAAAAAAATACACAGGTTTCAATTAATAAAAATAGCATAAAAATACTTTCTTGGAATATCCAATCGCCTTCATCAGTAGATGGGAGCAAATTTGAAATAGAATCATTTCAAAATGTTATCAAAGATCATGACATAGCCTGTCTTCAGGAAATTAGGAGAGAGGTTCACTTGGTAGGATATCGATCAATCTGCAACATAAGGAAAGACGGTAAATCAGGAGGTGTCGGTATCCTCATTAAAAATGAGCTTATTGAAGGGATTGAGTTTATCAAGAATACAGAGTGTTCAGACTACCTAGTTTGTCGACTAGACAAGGATTTCTTTAACCTATCAGAAGATACATTTATAGTTAACGTTTACATTAGACCATTTAATTCATCAGCCTCAAACCCGACTGACAATGGCAAAGATGCTCTAAAAAACATTGAAGACGTTGTGAACGAACTTCGGGAGGAGGGCGAAGTCATATTGTGTGGGGACTTTAACTCTCGTATAGGACAAAAAACGGGTATGATAAGAGAAGACTCAACCAACGTTGTTCCCTTACCAGACGATTATGAGCCTGACAACTTTCTCCCCCGAAACTCACTAGACTCTATCACAAATACTTACGGTACACACTTTCTTAACCTAGTCAAACATAACCAACTCACTATTCTGAATGGCCGTACCCTAGGAGATCTTGTAGGAAACTTCACAAGTATCCAAAAAAATGGGTGCAGCGTTATTGATTACATTGCAGTGACCAACTCCACAAAGATCAGAATCAACTACTTCAAAATCTTGACATTCACCGAGCATTCTGATCATAAGCCCCTCAGTACTGAATTACAATGCAATAGATTCGCGATCAACAAATGCGCCCCATTACAGGACACTTATCAGACAGCGCCAACCAGATACATTATCAACGAAGAGAACAAAGACGACTTTTTCGAAGCTCAGTCAGAAAATCTATCATTGACCTTAATCCATGAACTTCAATCGAACATCGACTTACTCACCAATCAAAATATTTTAGCAGACAATGACCGTAATTATGAAACTGAACTCAAAGACATTAACAAACGACTTTCAGAACACCTTCGCGACATGGCCTCGAAGTGTTTCAAACAAACCAAACCACCCAAAAAATCTCACACCTCAAACAAACCTTGGTTTAACTGGAAAACGAGATTAGGTAAAAGAGAATTTCGTAAAGCTACAGATGCAACCTCAAAATTCCCGTCAAACAACCTTATACGTGAAAACTATTATCTTGTCAAGGGTAGCTATAAGCGTTTGAAGAACTCTGCCAAAAACGAATTCTTCGCACGTATGAATGAGGACATAGAGGGGGGGAAAATTCTCAACTGGCAATCTTTCAAAAAACTAAAAAATCAGAAAAAGGAAACTTTAAATTTTGACAGTCATGATATGAATAGATTCGAGACTTTTTTTGGTAACCTATATTCCGATAACCACAAAACAATAAATGAAAATAAAAAAGTTTCTATGATTGATCAAGCTGACTTGATAAATCAAGGTGCAACTCATCCTGAGTCACTCAACTCCTTAATCACCAAAACAGAACTTGACTCTAGTATAAAATCCCTAAAAAATGGTAAAGCTTCCTCACTCGACATGATTAATAACGAAATTATAAAATCTCTGGACACCAATCATAAATTGATTATGTTGAACCTCTTCAACGCCTGCTTCTCACAAGGAATTTATCCCTGGAACGTCAGCATTATATCTCCACTTCATAAAAAGGGTAATAAATCAGATCCTGACAACTACCGTGCAGTTGCTGTCAGCAGTGTCATAGGAAAACTATTTTCAACTATTCTCTTAGAACGACTCATTCGCTTCCGCTCTGAAAACTGCCCTGATCCACCTAACCAACTAGGCTTCACAAAGAAAGCTCAAACATACGATCACATACTAACCATGAAAACTATAGCTTCAAAATATAAACTTTTGGGGAAACCTGTATATGCAGTATTTGTTGATTTTAAAAAAGCATTCGACTCAGTCTGCCGTCAAGCCCTTTTCCTCAAACTCGCAAAAAATGGCATAACTGGAAACTTCTACAATGTCCTCAAAAATATGTACTCAAACTCGTACGCTTACATAAAATTATCTGGTCACCTCAGTAAACGCTTCCAGATACGTAAAGGTACAGAACAAGGTCACCCACTCTCACCTGATCTTTTTAAAGTTTTTCTCAGTGATATGTCCTGCCTCCTAGATTTTCCAAATTGCCCCGTACTTTCAAATTTGACTGTTAGCCACCTACTGTGGGCGGATGACCTTATACTCCTTTCACTCGACCAGGAAACCACTCAAAAGCAACTTAATATTCTCGGTAATTTTTGTAAGGAGTGGGGCATTGAAATCAATGAACTCAAAACTCAAGCAGTCATCTTTGGTAAGAAAACGTTAAAACAGGACATACAAAACATCAAATTTACACTCAACGGATCTAATCTTGAAATTGTTGACAGTTATTGTTACCTTGGATTTGAACTTCATCAATCGGGTCAAGTACAGATCGCTCAACAAAACCTTAAAACCAAAGCAATGCGTGCATTTTTTGGCCTGAAAAGGGTTGTCATGCGTTCAAAGTTATCTTTTAAAGCACTCCTTACACTGTTCGACTCTCTCATCAAGCCCATTCTATTATATGGTGCTCCGATATGGACACCCACTAGTACGATCAATAAATCTCTTTGCAAAACGATTAACTCGACAGAAGCAACCGCTACTAACTTACTTAAAAAAATCAGCGCCTCTCTGCAAGAAAGAGTGCATATTTCATTCCTAAAATGGGCATTGGGAGTCCATCGTAAAGCATCAAATGTAGGTGTTTGGGGAGAAACAGGAAGAATTCCTCTGATTTATCAATCAATTCGCTTAACGTTAAATTACTTCAAAAGGCTAAATACAAAATCAAAGTCGAATTCGTTTGTCACTGCAGCCGTAAAAGAACAAAAATCACTAAACTTACCTTGGTATCGATACATAAAACCACTCCTTGAACTAGATGAAATTTACAAACTAGATCACGTAACTGCGCACCGAATTCTCAATACAAATGCAGCTAACAAAGCCGCGCCCAACCCTGTAAGTGATCACAAATTATTAAAAGACTCCCTCATAAATCAGTCAAATTTTAGTCAATCCATCAAACCACTATGCAGCAAAAAGTATAGAATTCCTAAAATCATCGAAGCTCTAACCAATCAATTCAAAAAATGTTGGCAATATCAAAAATCTACTTCTTCTAAACTCTCATTCTATCACTCAATCAAACACACCTTCAACCGAGAGCCCTACTTATACTTATGCAAAGGCTTTTCTCGTCGTTACAGTACCACAAAACTTAGAATCAGCGCACATGATCTCCATATTGAAAGAGGCAGATACTCCAACACACCCCGTGAGCAAAGACTATGTGGTTGGTGCCAATCAAGTATGGGCGTTGAGACCATCGAAGACGAGTCGCATGTTCTTTACATTTGTGACTTGTATTCAAAACAGAGGTCGAAATTAGTCAAAAATCTTTCTCAAATGCCAATCATTGAAATAAGCAATGAAATTACCGACTCCAGCAATATCAATGAAACAAATCTCAAAGATCATCTCATGGAAATTTTGTCTCCTTACTCAACTGTAATTCCTCAAAATCACCAGAGCCTCCATATTCACTGCCACCGCTCACTTGATATTCAACCAAACACCCCACAGTATACTCAATTTCAAGAAAGGCGCTCCTATGCTGTCAACTGTGTGTGCACTTTTTTCCTTCGCTGCTCCGAAGAGCGAAATAGCTTCACCGAAGATACGCGTCAGCGTAATTCAAATGCACGAAACTTAAACAATTTTACTATCAATTTGGTGAGAACCTCGCGAATTAGTCATAATTAAGACTCAATGATAACCCTGGCCCTGACTTCAAGCAAAGATGATTGTTTTCATTAACTTCTGTAAACAATTATGACGGTCCATGATAATGGATCTATAATTTAATTTTAATCCTGTGTAATCCTGTGTAATCCTGTGTAATCCACCCCCTAGCGTGATGTCACAACCCCTCACGTGCCGTCACACTCCCCACGTGACATCACAACCCTCAAGTGACGTCACACCTCCTAACGTGACGTCACACTCCCCACGTGACATCACAACCCTCAAGTGACGTCACAACCCCTCACGTGACGTCACACTCCCCACGTGACATCACAACCCTCAAGTGACGTCACACCCCCTAACGTGACGTCACACTCCCCACGTGACATCACAACCCTCAAGTGACGTCACACCCCCTAACGTGACGTCACACTCCCCACGTGACATCACAACCCTCAAGTGACGTCACACCCCCTAACGTGTCGTCACACCCCCTAACGTGACATCACAACCCTCACGTGACGTCACACCCCCTAACGTGACGTCACACTCCCCACGTGACATCACAACCCTCAAGTGACGTCACACCCCCTAACGTGTCGTCACACCCCCTAACGTGACATCACAACCCTCACGTGACGTCACACCCCCTAACGTGACGTCACACCCCTCACGTGACGTCACACCCCCTAACGTGACGTCACACCCCTCACGTGACGTCACACCCCCTAACGTGACGTCACACCCCCTAACGTCACAATGTTCAGGATCCAGCTGGTTCTGAAAGGAGGTCCAGAGCGTGACACTCTCCTGGACATTATACAGCGCAGCAAGTCTCATCACCAGAAGCGAGCTTATCAGTGTATGAAGTGTCTTACTAACCTACTCTCTGCCAGCACTCTTGCTGCTGAGATATTCTTTGAAGATGCTGACAATAAATTCAGGTTATTTTTGTCTTCTCACCCAAATTCAGTCGATTGTGGTTGTCTTTCCTTTTTTGGTTCGAGATGATCCACTCTTTTGGAATTAACTTTCGTCAGAAAATGTTACAATTATTTTTGTACCGTAGTTATTGTTTCTTATCATTATAACCCCTTCTCAGATGGGAAGGAGCTGTGAATTGGCTTGGAGTGCAGCTTGAACGTCGGCCAGGTTACCATGGAAACAATCCTGGCAGTTGGGGAAACCTCTCTAATGAAACCGGGAACGACTTTTACATCGAGAGGAGTAACTCAGCGGTCCTCGTTCATCAAAAGGTACTTTTTATACTTCAAGTTTTTCCTTAACTTTCATTATTGATAACGGTTAAAAGTGTATTGGATTATCTGCAAATTTTTCAGCCCTTTATTCAGAATGTAATTTTAATCACTATTTATCCTCTCCAGGCAGAGGCATTGCTGCCAAACGACAGCGATGAAGGGGAATCTCTTAGCGAGGAAGATTCCAAAAACTTGAGCGTGGAAGATAGCATCCAAAATACGAGTGGCAGCACCCAAAATACTAGTGGCAGCGCCCAAAATACGAGTGGTAGCACCCAAAATACGAGTGGTAGTACCCAAAATACGAGTGGCAGCACCCAAAATACGAGTGGTAGTACCCAAAATACGAGTGGAAGCACTCAAAACACGAGTTCTAGCACGCAAAACTCGAGTTCTAGCAGTAGCACCCAGAACAACAGCGAACTTAACTTATCAGTTCACTCACAAGACTTGAGCGACGCGCAGGACACGAGCGTGCTGAGCCTGGAGAGAAACTCACTCTCAGATGTGGAAACTTCTCGAGGCTCTTCCGGCGACTGTGACACTTCTGTTGATGCGGAGTGATCGCGTGTCAGATACCTTCACATCATGTTGATTGTAAAGCCTCATCGTTATTCCGTTCGTTTTGAATTCAAAGTGATCAAGCAAAAATGTTAAATAATCTAGCCAAATCTGAGAACTTTTCATTCCGATTGATTATATCTTCGTGCTAAGAGTCTGAAAGATCTATTTATAGATCCTGGGAATGAGAGTGTTTACTCTGTTCGGTACTGCGGCAAGCTGTTTAATTGGTTCTAGTTTTCGTTGTGTATTATTATTGTCACGTGATCATGTTGAGGAGCTGCCCCTTTAAGAATATGTGAAATATGGACCTCCAAAGCACTAATACCATGATAACAGAGATTTGTCTATTTCAATTTTGTTCCTTCCAAAAGGCCACAAATGGTTATATGATACAGGGTGCTCCAGAATTAATGCACCTGCGAGTTTAATAAGGCATAAATAATAGTTGAAAATATGTTTTATACCCTCCATGTATAGAACCTACAGATTTCTACCTTAATTCTGGATCATTCTGTTCGTTATCTAGTGTGAAGTATAGGTTTGAGATAGGGTTCTTCCTTAAATCACAAACTTTTACTCCGTAATTATTCGTGACGTAGGGTACCGTGTTATTACTGTTACTGTTACTTAAATTATCATATTTCGTTACCATTATTTTACAAGCTCAATCTTCATATCAAGACGTGTTAGTTACGTCAATTTCATTACCACCCATTATTGAGGTTTGATTCAATATTCAGATTGGCTGTTAAATAGTTACCGTCTCAATCATAATGATAAAGTTGTGAGGCTGAGAGTGGGGTTACTCCTTAATCTCTGATCATTTTAAATATCCAGATCGGCCGCTGTGGTTACAGACCATGCGCCGTGTATAACTTATCGCGTTTATATAACGCTTATATATGTATAATGTTTCGTTGTTACTTATTTGATCACAATATACTGATGCTGGGTAGGTCTATGATTTTATTTGGCTACAAAACTTAATTTAACCTTCTGGAAGAAGGATTAATTTTTATATTTTTATTAATTTTTCTGCCGCAAGTTTTGGCGGTATTTTAAAACGTCAACAATTATTGTAAAAATATGTACATCAGGAATCAAAGGACTTTGGATGATGATTAAAAAAACTATTTATAAGTATAACTTATTTTCAATGTTAAATGTTGTGAAAATTTCAGGCGTCATACTAATTGTAATGTGTAGGCTAAGTTCTTAAGATTTGCAAAGCAAATGATTGTGTTTCATTTTCACTGAGATTTAGGTTCAACAACAGCTTAGTCTTACCTGCAACATTATTTCATGCGCGGCCCATGTGTTAACGGGGATACTCGTGAAATATTTGTTCCAAATATTATAGTTATACCGTCGAAGAGTCGCGCTATTGTCCATTGTTAAATATGGACTAGCCCGGCCGAGTTGTCATACGTTGTATGATCCGCCGCGCACGATCGAGTGCCCGGCTCTTTCACCTATACGAAGTAACCAATTAGGGCTATTAAATGCCGAACACAAGGATATTTCGTATTTGGATCATATGCCTGCAGGCTGTCTGTCGCTTAAGACCATGGTCGCTCTTAACTGAGCGATAAGTGACGTTAAGTGAGACCGTGAGCACCACTTCTTGCCAATTTGCTTTTGAATTAACTTAACGAATTATTTCGTTCGAACTTAACTTATCAGTTAACTCACAAGACTTGAGCGACGCGCAGGACACGAGCGTGCTGAGCCTGGAGAGAAACTCACTCTCGGATGTGGAAACTTCTCGAGGCTCTTCCGGCGACTGTGACACTTCTGTTGATGCGGAGAGATCGCGTGTCAGATACCTTCACATCATGTTGATTGTAAAGCCTCATCGTTATTCCGTTCGTTTTGATTCAAAGTGATCAAGCAAAAATGTTAAATAATATAGCCAAATCTGAGAACTTTTCATTCCGATTGATTATAATGTCTTCGTGCTAAGAGTCTGAAAGATCTATCTATAGATCCTGGGAATGAGAGTGTTTACTCTGTTCGGTACTGCGGCAAGCTGTTTAATTGGTTCTAGTTTTCGTTGTGTATTATTATTGTCACGTGATCATGTTGAGGAGCTGCCCCTTTAAGAATATGTGAAATATTGACCTCCAAAGTACTAATACCATGATAACAGAGATTTGTCTATTTCAATTTTGTTCCTTCCAAAAGGCCACGAATGGTTATATGATACAGGGTGCTCCAGAATTAATACACCTGCGAGTTTAATATGGCATAAATAATAGTTGAAAATATGTTTTATACCCTCCATGTATAGAACCTACAGATTTCTACCTTAATTCTGGATCATTCTGTTCGTTATCTAGTGTGAAGTATAGGTTTGAGATAGGGTTCTTCCTTAAATCACAAACTTTTACTCCGTAATTATTCGTGACGTAGGGTACCGTGTTATTACTGTTACTGTTACTTAAATTATCATATTTCGTTACCATCATTTTACAATCTCAATCTTCATATCAAGACGTGTTAGTTACGTCAATTTCATTACCACCCATTATGGAGGTTTGATTCAATATTCAGATTGGCTGTTAAATAGTTACCGTCTCAATCATAATGATAAAGTTGTGAGGCTGAGAGTGGGGTTACTCCTTAATCTCTGATCATTTTAAATATCCAGATCGGCCGCTGTGGTTACAGACCATGCGCCGTGTATAACTTATCGCGTTTATATAACGCTTATATATGTATAATGTTTCGTTGTTACTTATTTGATCACAATATACTGATGCTGGGTAGGTCTATGATTTTATTTGGCTACAAAACTTAATTTAACCTTCTGGAAGAAGGATTAATTTTTATATTTTTATTAATTTTTCTGCCGCAAGTTTTGGCGGTATTTTAAAACGTCAACAATTATTGTAAAAATATGTACATCAGGAATCAAAGGACTTTGGATGATGATTAAAAAAACTATTTATAAGTATAACTTATTTTCAATGTTAAATGTTGTGAAAATTTCAGGCGTCATACTAATTGTAATGTGTAGGCTAAGTTCTTAAGATTTGCAAAGCAAATGATTGTGTTTCATTTTCACTGAGATTTAGGTTCAACAACAGCTTAGTCTTACCTGCAACATTATTTCATGCGCGGCCCATGTGTTAACGGGGATACTCGTGAAATATTTGTTCCAAATATTATAGTTATACCGTCGAAGAGTCGCGCTATTGTCCATTGTTAAATATGGACTAGCCCGGCCGAGTTGTCATACGTTGTATGATCCGCCGCGCACGATCGAGTGCCCGGCTCTTTCACCTATACGAAGTAACCAATTAGGGCTATTAAATGCCGAACACAAGGATATTTCGTATTTGGATCATATGCCTGCAGGCTGTCTGTCGCTTAAGACCATGGTCGCTCTTAACTGAGCGATAAGTGACGTTAAGTGAGACCGTGAGCACCACTTCTTGCCAATTTGCTTTTGAATTAACTTAACGAATTATTTCGTTCGAACTTAACTTATCAGTTAACTCACAAGACTTGAGCGTCGCGCAGGACACGAGCGTGCTGAGCCTGGAGAGAAACTCACTCTCGGATGTGGAAACTTCTCGAGGCTCTTCCGGCGACTGTGACACTTCTGTTGATGCGGAGAGATCGCGTGTCAGATACCTTCACATCATGTTGATTGTAAAGCCTCATCGTTATTCCGTTCGTTTTGGATTCAAAGTGATCAAGCAAAAATGTTAAATAATATAGCCAAATCTGAGAACTTTTCATTCCGATTGATTATAATGTCTTCGTGCTAAGAGTCTGAAAGATCTATCTATAGATCCTGGGAATGAGAGTGTTTACTCTGTTCGGTACTGCGGCAAGCTGTTTAATTGGTTCTAGTTTTCGTTGTGTATTATTATTGTCACGTGATCATGTTGAGGAGCTGCCCCTTTAAGAATATGTGAAATATTGACCTCCAAAGTACTAATACCATGATAACAGAGATTTGTCTATTTCAATTTTGTTCCTTCCAAAAGGCCACGAATGGTTATATGATACATGAGGGTGCTCCAGAATTAATGCACCTGCGAGTTTAATATGGCATAAATAATAGTTGAAAATATGTTTTATACCCTCCATGTATAGAACCTACAGATTTCTACTTTAATTCTGGATCATTCTGTTCGTTATCTAGTGTGAAGTATAGGTTTGAGATAGGGTTCTTCCTTAAATCACAAACTTTTACTCCGTAATTATTCGTGACGTAGGGTACCGTGTTATTACTGTTACTGTTACTTAAATTATCATATTTCGTTACCATCATTTTACAAGCTCAATCTTCATATCAAGACGTGTTAGTTACGTCAATTTCATTACCACCCATTATGGAGGTTTGATTCAATATTCAGATTGGCTGTTAAATAGTTACCGTCTCATTCATAATGATAAAGTTGTGAGGCTGAGAGTGGGGTTACTCCTTAATCTCTGATCATTTTAAATATCCAGATCGGCCGCTGTGGTTACAGACCATGCGCCGTGTATAACTTATCGCGTTTAACGCTTATATATGTATAATGTTTCGTTGTTACTTATTTGATCACAATATACTGATGCTGGGTAGGTCTATGATTTTATTTGGCTACAAAACTTAATTTAACCTTCTGGAAGAAGGATTAATTTTTATATTTTTATTAATTTTTCTGCCGCAAGTTTTGGCGGTATTTTAAAACGTCAACAATTATTGTAAAAATATGTACATCAGGAATCAAAGGACTTTGGATGATGATTAAAAACCTATTTATAAGTATAACTTATTTTCAATGTTAAATGTTGTGAAAATTTCAGGCGTCATACTAATTGTAATGTGTAGGCTAAGTTCTTAAGATTTGCAAAGCAAATGATTGTGTTTCATTTTCACTGAGATTTAGGTTCAACAACAGCTTAGTCTTACCTGCAACATTATTTCATGCGCGGCCCATGTGTTAACGGGGATACTCGTGAAATATTTGTTCCAAATATTATAGTTATACCGTCGAAGAGTCGCGCTATTGTCCATTGTTAAATATGGACTAGCCCGGCCGAGTTGTCATACGTTGTATGATCCGCCGCGCACGATCGAGTGCCCGGCTCTTTCACCTATACGAAGTAACCAATTAGGGCTATTAAATGCCGAACACAAGGATATTTCGTATTTGGATCATATGCCTGCAGGCTGTCTGTCGCTTAAGACCATGGTCGCTCTTAACTGAGCGATAAGTGACGTTAAGTGAGACCGTGAGCACCACTTCTTGCCAATTTGCTTTTGAATTAACTTAACGAATTATTTCGTTCGAACTTAACTTATCAGTTAACTCACAAGACTTGAGCGACGCGCAGGACACGAGCGTGCTGAGCCTGGAGAGAAACTCACTCTCGGATGTGGAAACTTCTCGAGGCTCTTCCGGCGACTGTGACACTTCTGTTGATGCGGAGTGATCGCGTGTCAGATACCTTCACATCATGTTGATTGTAAAGCCTCATCGTTATTCCGTTCGTTTTGGATTCAAAGTGATCAAGCAAAAATGTTAAATAATATAGCCAAATCTGAGAACTTTTCATTCCGATTGATTATAATGTCTTCGTGCTAAGAGTCTGAAAGATCTATCTATAGATCCTGGGAATGAGAGTGTTTACTCTGTTCGGTACTGCGGCAAGCTGTTTAATTGGTTCTAGTTTTCGTTGTGTATTATTATTGTCACGTGATCATGTTGAGGAGCTGCCCCTTTAAGAATATGTGAAATATTGACCTCCAAAGTACTAATACCATGATAACAGAGATTTGTCTATTTCAATTTTGTTCCTTCCAAAAGGCCACGAATGGTTATATGATACATGAGGGTGCTCCAGAATTAATGCACCTGCGAGTTTAATATGGCATAAATAATAGTTGAAAATATGTTTTATACCCTCCATGTATAGAACCTACAGATTTCTACCTTAATTCTGGATCATTCTGTTCGTTATCTAGTGTGAAGTATAGGTTTGAGATAGGGTTCTTCCTTAAATCACAAACTTTTACTCCGTAATTATTCGTGACGTAGGGTACCGTGTTATTACTGTTACTGTTACTTAAATTATCATATTTCGTTACCATTATTTTACAAGCTCAATCTTCATATCAAGACGTGTTAGTTACGTCAATTTCATTACCACCCATTATTGAGGTTTGATTCAATATTCAGATTGGCTGTTAAATAGTTACCGTCTCATTCATAATGATAAAGTTGTGAGGCT